TAACGGTACCGGTATGGCACCGGTAACTGTACCACAGAACCGTACCTGTGTCTCGGCGACATCAAACAGTTTCATAATGTAATAATGGAAATATAAGGCATATACCGTTATGCTTCGCGAAATCAAAGGCCATCCCAACGTTACTATACCTGTATCGATAAGAACGAAACGGAAAATAAAATGGTGCAACTGCAACCGGTCCCGGATAATCGAGCAAGGTTTCGGAAAAACAGCTAAAAGAGCAGTGCCCTCGTGTGGAACGGATAAACAAAAACTCATAATAATGGAAATTTCCATGATTAGAATTAGACAGAACCATGAAAAATAAATATTATTGGATAAACGAGAATTATAATTTTCTTGCTCGCATATCATGCAGCAGTGTATTCTCGTAGATCAGAAAAATGTATCAATATTTTCTTCCTGGGTGCAAAATAAATGGGAGTAATTGCCAACATCAGTGGCCAAAGTTTTCCTATGCAAAGTCGATGACTGCAGTGAAACCCGAAAAATTCTATAAATGTTGAGTAATATCACGTGTAATGTTACCTTTTCTAATGTGAAGCTTTTGCCAAAACTATATAAATGAAAGAACCGTAGTTGTACTACAGTAATTTAGTCCAAAAGAAATGTTGATATCCTCGGACAATTTTTACCAATAAGAGTATCTTCTGTAATAAAAAAAATATTGCAACATTGGTGGAGTGATGGACCTTCTAGAGGTTCAAACTCCGGATCTATATCCTATATTACGGTAACGAATTGGTTACAACGCTCCAAGAAATATATAGCTGAATCTGAAAATATCCTGTATAGTAGAGCAGTGGTTCCCAACCTGTGGTACGCGTACCACTAGTGGTACGCGAGTACATTCATTTTTCTAATCGACTAAAAAGAGTTCTTAGTTGAGGTGGGGTTGATTTTGAGTTTTTTGAAGCCGTCGTGGTGAGGAACGGCTTTTTTCTCGCCACTATGACGACATATAACATCTAGGTCAAATGCACGATATTCGCCCTAAGCGCTAAGGGGCTTCCACTGAAGTTATTTTTGTGCCCAAACCAAATTACCAAATGACAAATTTCGTCAAAGCATCAGCTCTAAATAGTCGACTGTGAACAGCAAAGCTGATTTGTGAACATCAAAGACGAAACACAAAGATTGTTCTCTTATAAACTTCGGGCTCGCGCTATTTCCAACCGCTAATTTCCCTTTTATGTGGGAGTGCAGGCAAGGATTTTCATCCCTGATGACTATCAAGTCGAAGAAACGAAACGTTGCGCCCATGCAGGCTTTCGATGCGCCGTGAGCAAATATATGCGATACATCGACCAGATAGTCAAAAATAAACAAATGCAGCAAACACATTGAATAAATTGCTTCCCGTGAATGGGGGGGGGGTCTCAACCTTTGCTTAACTAATTTTAAAAAACTCTAATTAACTAATTTATCAATAACTCTAGCAATTTTTAATGGGTTTGTGGCCCACCTGATATGTTTCTGTGACCCAGAGATGGGCCATGGCCCACTGTTTGAAAACCAGTGGAGCCCTAGCCCATGTTTAATTGAATTTAATATTACACCTACCACAGATCAAATACGTGATTATGACGTCATGTAAAGGTGGGAATTTTTGACAGCCTTCGGTGCGCGTAACTTATGTAGGTGGTACGTGAGCACTGCATATAACCTCGAAATGTTACGTGGCTTGGGAACCACTGCTGTAGAGTGTAGAAGAACTAGACAATATATAACAATTAGCCCTTATTTACATCATTTACTTAAAATAACCGATAATCTTATACATATTACAAAATAGTGAATTGGGCGGGGGTTGCTGATTCTGGCCACCGTATGTATATATAGTCGTATCGCTTCCCCAGTCTATACCGAACAACTTTGTTTATGTTGTATATTTTTATTATTGGAAACTAAATGAACCTATGGATCGTTTTGCTATTATGTTGTTGTTGTTAATATTGTTGGTATTTTTCTTCTTGTTGTTGGGAAAAATCGCTTTTCTCATTCACAAATGGTCCAATTACTTCGAAATTTTCAGTGGCTATAGATTGTATTTTTCGCTAGAAGGCTATTATTTCTAAATTTGTCCACGGATACTGTAAGATCTGATATTTCATTCGGAATTTTGCTATATTTTTATTTTTCATAGGTTTTCAATTCACACGGTTTTTAATCCCCCCAGCGTAATTGCCATTTTCGATTTGACGCCACGGTACGCGAAACTCGGAGACTAATACCAGCAGGTACGGTACGAAAAATAGGCCATTTTTTGGATTTCGTGTCCATATATTTTAGCATCGCTATCTTGTTGTTGCAATGTTTGTTTACTGATTCACGAAATACTAAATATCTTACCCTCTCGCTAATACATTTATAATTAAAGTAAGTTAAATATGGTGTGAATTTTTAGGGGGTTCAAATGGGAGGGAGAATTAAACGTAAAACATGACTACATCCTTGAAGAAAGGGCGAATTAACACGAAGAATCACTTTTGGTTAGGAGTCAAGGTTAAATTTTCATTGAATGACAAATATGAGACCTCGTGAACGACTATCGAGAATTTTCCCTAAATTTGCTTTGAGCGATGATCAAATATATGGACACGAATAGCAAAACGAAAGTATCTGGGTATGCAATCTGTCACGCCACAAAATGCAAAATTTTACTTTTGATGACGTCACGCATAAAAGAAACAAATCCCATAGAGCCAAGAAATTTTTTGAAATAAATAAAAGGAATAGCCTTTTAGCAAAAATCAATTTTCAACTGAAAATTCTTAGAACTCTGAAAATTTGAAAGCAATTAGTCCATTAGTTAATGGGAAAGCTATTTTTTATAACAATAAAAATACTAACAAAGAAATGAACAAAAACAATCTAATAAATAATAATAATAATAATAAAGCGATCCCTATGTACACTTCATTTACAATAATTATAATTTGGAAATACACATTTTGTGAGATGCATGTCGAAATTTTTCAGAGATGCAGTGGCGACCGTATTCCTAACGCTTGGCACGATGCGCCATACCGCATACTTGGATTACTGCGAAATATTGTTTGTTAATGGGTATACAGCACTATATACTGCTTATACAATATTTATCTCAATTGAAATGTTGAGGACAACTAAGTCCTCAATTCGACAATTCGCGATTATCAGGAGAACAAAAATATGAAAACAAATAATTTTATGGATTCCTAAACTCATCTGCTCGTTTTTTATCCGTTAGTGGGTGCTGTTGATATATGGCTATAATAGTATGCAAAAAAATATGACTCACGTCCATACGTGCCCAGCCGTTCGTGCTGTCTTGTCCAGATAATCGAATAAAAGTTCTATGCTGTTCTGTTACATATTACACACATACATACATTGAGTAAAAATCACAACATAAAAACAAAATATAGTAACCAAACTTTGATTGCAGTTGATCGTCTACTTTGAAATCGCAAAGCAAATCAAAAATAAAAGACACAGGATCACCCTCTCTCTTTTACGGAATGGTCATCACTGACCATCTGCGGCAACACGAATCGTTCTCATTGACTCCTGTTATCCGCAATTCTGAGCAGCTCAGCTATGATAATATCAGCGATGTCTTTTACGTTGTCTGACATACTTGTTTTGGTCTTCCACGTCCTATTTTGCCACGGATTGTATCAACGAGCTGATCTTTTGTTGGCGTCTGTTCTGCCCAAATGTCCCCTACAATCGCAATTTTATGTCAGCAGTCTTCGGCATGGTCCGATCTTCTCCAGAACTCCATCTACCCAGCTTACGCGAAGGAGTCTACGGTAGCACCGCAATTCAAAAGCAGCAATTTTTCTCCTGTCGACTTTCTTCGATATCCAACATTCTGCTCCATATGCTGCTATTGAGAATAACGACACTTGCAGAAGTCGGTTTTTATGCATTGTGAAATGGATCATCCTTTCCAGATATTAGTTAGCGCAATCATTGCTGTCTTGCTACTTTGGTGTCATCTACTTTGTTTGTGGAAACTGCACCTCACTAGGATCTCATCATGTTGTGTCTGCGTTACTTTCATTATCTTGGCTTAGTATATATGTTTTGAAAACTAGTTGATACACCGAAATGCGGAGTCAAAAAAAATTCACTGCAACATCAAGCTATTTTTGTATCAATTTCAATCCAACATATTTTAATCGCATTCATAATAATAGAAGGCTCTGGACATGCTGTAGATACGTATAAGGCTGCTTATTGTGTGTTCAGCAATGATTGATCTTATCGAATGGCCGTGGTCACAAACATTAGATTTGAATTAGAGATTTTATAATTTTCTGCGCAAACTATTCAACACGAACGCGCCAACCAATAGGACAGAAGGCATCATCAGATTCAGATATATATATATATTTATATAGATACTGTATTCTAATGTATTTAAATTAAATATTAACTTGGAAAAGCAATAATATGCTATCCAGGCAGATCGAAAAATATCTGCTTGTGACTCCTTCCAATAATACAGAAATTGAAAAATTACTACGCCAATTTCGACCATTTAGTCGGAGTTTTGAATCGGGATAGAAGAGGATTTGCATATTTATCCCGGGGAGCGAAAAAGATATAAGACGGCTCAATCAAATGGCAAACCACGGCCTCTCGTCTGGTTACCAGTCCATATCAGGTATGGGATTAGTTAGCAGTTATTGTGTTTAGGTGCAAGGACTTGATGGTGGAGAAAGTCATAACCGACCAGCGACCACGTGAACCACCATGCGGAGGCTAGGAATCTAGACGTCCTCTGACACATAAATATTCCCCACCGGATTTCGACCCTACGAATCCACGCATGATAATCAGAGGTGCGGTGGCAAGCATACCTAACGCTTACCACGATGCGTCAAATCGCCGAGCCTGTGATGGACATTCATGACATTTTTGAGTTAAGTGCCTTCATCCGTGCCCCAATCCCACTGGCGTGAGCAGTTTCATGTGTGCGATTCGAAGCATTCTCACACAGGTTGTGTGACAGTGTTTTCGATAAGTTGAAATATTCGTGCGCTGCAGTGCCTGATCTAAAGGCCCTGCGGGGTTTATGCGACTGACGATAATTGGCAAGACGGCCTGAATATCAGAATATCACCGAAATTTAATGTGGCTAAGATAAATAGCCTGGAAGTTAGCTAAAGAATCTGTGTAGTAGCAATTTCCGAGTCTACAGGTATGATAATATAAGAAAGTTATGCGATACGTTTATAGAAAAAAATCAAATAAGTTATAAGCTTAATATTTTTGAAGGTATCTAGATTATTTACATCTGTAAGTTGTTGAAAGTCGATTTTTACCAGTCTGCCAGGGTTGTGGTATAATTTCTGAATTTGTGGACAGATGGATACAAATGCACTTCTTTTCAACTGTTACCTACGGTCATTTTCGTTTGGGTATTTTACAGCAACACATCGTTGTTGAATACCATATGCTTGACCAGTTGACCTGACGATATAAATCCAAAACAGTAAAAATTTCAATATAATCATAGTTGACATGGTGAACAAAATCTCTTATGGACAAATAACTAATTGGTAAAGAAGATATATTTCTAAACTTTGATCAGAGCATGGTCATATTAATAAATAAATTTATTTAAGAATATTATTTTAAATCATGTTTCCAGATTTTTAATGTGAAATAATAAAAAGCAGTGATAAAAAATCAGTCAGCAAGTGAATCATAAGGATTATTGTTTTTCTATGTCTTTTAATTCAGTAATTAGAGCAGGAAAATGATGTGGCTATTGGATATTGAGAAAATCTTGACATTTTGGCATGTATGTGGTTATTTTTTGTAATCTTATTTATCTATGAAATGAGTTTTTCTATAACATTTTTCATTGTTGAAACTTATTGGTATGGTATTTTATTGTGAAAAGGAATAAAAATAAAATGGAGCTTTCAAGTCTAAATTCTAAAAAAAACAATATATATTGGATTTGTTTTTATAAAAACTGAATTCAGGAACATATTGAGCTTTTAGTGTGTATCATGTATACTGGGATGAATCTACTGCGCCACATTCAACGATTTCAAAGAAGGAAATCTTGCTATGAAAGCTATCAATAAAAGTATTATCTGGAATTTATTTTGGTTTATCTCTATGGCATATACTCCAGATGTCACTGACTGCACATATGGAGCTATTGCATCACAGCGTCATTTTTGGGTAAACCAATTTTACTTGGTGAACAATTTTTGGTGCCACTTTGGTATGTGATCTCGATTGCTTAATATGATCTCAATCACATACCAAAGTGGCACCAATTGTGCTTTGGTATGTGTTTAATCTCTTAAAGATATTTCCATACAATTCAGTTCCTAACCCTAAGCAAAATTGTTGAGATCACACAACTGCTGATATTGTATACCAAAGTAGCACCAAATTTTGTTATTTCATACAAAAATTAGTATTTCTGTAAATCGTTTTTGTACTATGTTAAGGTCACTAGTAATACAGCTTGTACTGCAAACAAAATGATTCCATGCCAATGATCAATGCACCGCCAGTTATATAGGGTATGATTGTTGGAGCAATGTACTCATACCATATTATCCAAATAATACTTATGATGGATTTTCATTATACTTTTATGTTCTTAACTTATTTGATGAGTTTAGAAATTGTAGTCATTATTTGATGTCTTATCTGTGTTACAGACAAAGAAATTATATAACGAACTTCATATTACATCAAATTCAAGTGAGTAATTAATCACTGACTTCATCTTATTACTTACGGTGCTTGTTTCTTTTCTGTCTTCTGAGCGAGCAATCTTACAAACTTGTTATACTATGTAACATTCAATTACCATTATCACCTTTGTTAAATTGATATTCTCTATCAATATTTTTCAGACATACTTTTTTCTAATTATTTGTAACCTCAAAATGTTTGCATAAATGTGATTGTAATTATAATATCGATATAAATGGTCTTTTTTACAACTTTTCGTTAATCATAGACATGACTTTGAGTGGTTAATGGACATCGAATTTTTTTTTCCCAACTCGGTTACAGATAAAGTGAGAATTAGACGTCAGATTCCTTCTCCACTGTTTGTAAAGCAATATGATGGCTGTTTATCTCAATCTAGTTGTTCTAGTATTAGGAATATGACAAGTACAGCGTCAGGAACTGGAAATAGTAAGTTAATTTTAAACATTTTTGACCCACTATGAGTGCCGGGTGTGACCATTTTCAAACCAAATGAATTACTTTTACATTACTATGAAAATAGGTAAACATCAATACAGGAAGTAACATTGTTATATTTTGGTGCATTTTGACCTCTTCTTGTTTTGATATTTATATTTTTCTTATGAATTTGATTGGGAGTTGATTTCTCACTTTTATATTAATTCAAAATTATGGGAGATATTGAAATCTGAAATTTTATTACATTTGTTCTACTCGACGATATGGCAAATCGTGCTAAGCGTTAGGAATATGCTTGCCACCATACTCTGATTACTCTGCGTTGGTTCTTAGGTTCGAATCCTGTAGGGATAATTATGTGCGAGAGGACATAACAGCTCCCTCCACCATTAATTCCATGCACCTGATATAAGTAACTGGCTAACTGATTCCATACCTGACATGGACTGGCAACCGGAAGAGAGGCTGTGGTTCGCCGTCTTATCGACTTTCCTTTACCTTGAGATAAATATGTAAATCCTATCCTAGTTTTTTTGTTTCTATAGCATTTTATGTCGCTACCCCCACAAGAATATTGAAAGTTAGATTGGGAAGTGAGTTGAATCCAGTCTGTGTATGCACTGTCGTTTTGGACGGAAATGTACCAGGTAAGTCTTACATTTGTGTAGAATTTAATACACTTTCAAAATTGTCACTGCAATATTTTTGTATTTCATTTTAAAATGCATTGCAAAATATAAAATTTATCCTAAAACAACTTTACGACCAATTATTTATTAATTTACCTAATCAAAGAATAGACATGGACAAAATACCAATTATACGAGTCCGATTATTCAGCATACATTTTTGTAAAATAGGTCAAATTGTGATTGCTTCATATTTCCATTTTATTAACTATAGAGTATAGCTTTTTGGAAAATTTTTATGTTTCATTTGCATCATGTTTTACTGAAATATCCTGGTTAAAGGGATTGTTTTTTGAAAAATTCTATCAAAAATCTCATTTTCTCTCACTTCTGGGTCTTCCACTGCTAACTGTATCTCTTTGTGAATACTTATATTATATTTAAATTTGTCAAGAATTTTCTTGATTCTAAACAAAAGAATTTGAATTTTTAAATTGTGCAAGTTGAGAAATTTCTGATTGTCTGAAATTTTCAAAAAATGACTTACCGTAAAACAAATGACATTAAAATTCAGAAACCTTTTATGTGTAATTTTTCTATCGAGTGTCTCCATTATTTTCATTATTGTCTTTGCAATTAAAGATTGGAAATTGAAAATTGTCTCACAAATAAATTATTTTGTTGTTTCTAGCTCTATTGTCTCTTTTAATCTTTTTCCACAAAGTATTATTATGTACTATCCAACCTTTGGTGCCAAAACGATGCACTATTAACCCTTTCCGTGCGGTGGGCACGTATACGTACCCACGACAAAAGTCGCTAGATTGCGGCGGGTACGTTGATGTACTCCACTGTTTTATTCAGCAAGCGGTCACAAACTGTTGGTCTAGTTTTTCCGGGTTTTAGTTTATTGATAAGAAGTCTTCTTCGGGATTAACATAAGCGACGGTAAATCTTGCTTTCGTTTACAACGGGAATTTTATTTGCGGCGGAACGAGGGAGTGTTTTTGAAATTTATGCAAATTTCGGTGTTTTTTGGGTGGTAATAGAAGACATATTATCCCTTCCATCTACCAAAGTATTTTGAGTTGGATCACGAAATTGCTACAGCAATATTATGCTATTGTTTGCCAACCACGAAGCGGTAACAGTAAAGGATTTAGCGAATATTACTATTTTTTATCACGGTTTGAAGTTTCAACTCCCAAGAAAAAAAAATGCCTTTTTTCTATCATGATCCTCTGCTGTCCACTGACGGCTCGTTGGGAAGCTTATTTAAAGAGCTTGCAATTGGCGATTAAAAAAAAAGTTACCGGATAGAAAAAAGGCATTTTTTTTTCTTGGGAGTTTTTCGTTAGTCGATCGATTAGTTGTGGGGGTACAAATGCATAAATTCGGCGTAGCAAATGCGATTATTTAATAAAAAATAAAAATCGCATGGAAAGGGTTAAATATTGCTGTATTATTAAATGTAATCAATTTTTGCGATGGATGGACATATGTACCATATGTTTTAAGTGAAGAATATCATTCATAGATACAAAATGTTGAGTACAAAATATTTGAGGGTTAATACTTATGAAATATTGCAAGAGGTGAACAAATCATTTTGTAACAAAAATTTTAAAATTTTAGGTGAAAGGTGTGTTTTCATTAGAAATATCGTTAAACTAAAAAAAATTTCATTTTATATTAAAATATAACATACAATATATAAAAATTCGTTTGGATATCCTAATAGAAATGGGAAAAAAGCTTGGTGCATGGGAGTTTCCATTATGAATCAATATAATTCTCTCAAAATTGTGCGTAATTTTATATTTGGTGGTGTATGACAGCTGAATTATATGTGGTAGTAGCAATATTTCAAATATATTCCAAGTATATTTAAATTTATCATTACAACATCTATTCCTTCTTATTCATTTGGCAAGTAATGTGCATGCTTACATGATCCAATAATTTAAACAGTTCTTTCTATTGTGATGGATGACAATTATATTTATTGGTTGGGTGAAGAAAGTACCGAGGTCATGTATGTACCAATTGATTCTGACAACTCTCTACCTTTATCTAAACTTCTTCGTCCAGAAATGCTCGCTGAAGATAAACAATTTCATTGTGAGTGTTTTGTTTTCTTCCTATATTTTCTCTCATATTTTTCATACGTTCATTTTCTAACTATTATGTTCGTAAACAACTGGTGAAAAACAGAAATGCATGAAAATTTACTCAGTATATGAACAAATACATTTTTGAGCAAAAAATTCTGAAATTTTTTGTGTGGCAGTGTGTTCGGGTAATGACTTTTTAGTTTAGTGGTTTTCAACCTTTTTGGTGGCACCGAACCCCTGTATAAGAGTTTAATTGCTTTTTATTGTCAGAACTGTATAAACTATAATTATATATAAACATAATATTGACAAAACAAAATGATTTTCAAAATGCAGAAAATTTAATAATAGTGGCAAGCCTAATAATAATTTGATTACATTTAAACAACGAACATACCGGTATATTGGACTCTAGTCTAGGGTTTGAATGAGGTTCCAGAAAAATATTCATCAGTCATCACCCTTTTATTTGTTTTGTTGGTAGTTGATATCATAAAATTTAGGAAGTAATAATTTAAGATGGTTTAATAAATGGTGTCTGGTTGTTAGTTATAGTGGAATATTGGCAAAACTATTCCAATAATTGTTTCTGATTTATAGGCATGGCTAACATTGATTAGTTGTGCTGTTAGGTGAGCAACCTTGTGTCATCGAAAAGTTCTACAATCATCCTTCACATAGCATGAAGTCTAATTTGTGATATGTCTATGAAACATTCTTAGATGCATGAAATGTTTGGTAGAAAATTTGATAAAAAATCAAATGTTGTTTAGTTACATCAATGTGTAACATTAATATTTCATTTTAGATGCTGCTTGTCGGATACCTTCATACATACCTGATGTACCATTTCCAGTCAAAATATCTGATAACTATGCGTTCTTTAATCTATCATCTATAGAAGAAAAACAACATAAATGGTTCAATTCAGCGATATGTATGAATGAATTGAATCCAAATATAAGTTTTGCATTTCTTTATAAGAAAAATTCTGACACTTCACCGAAATCATGTTTTCAAATGTCCGATTGCTTTTACAAGGTAATTTGAAAGTCACTTTATATATTTTATACCTATTAATTTAACTATTATTGCTAACATTCCATGAATAATATTTTATAAGATGAAAATGAAATAATTTGATAAATGTGTAATTTCAATTTATTCCACTAAAAAACTAGGTTATTCATTTAGATTTATATAATCAACAATGGAAAATTGAAAATTAGCCAATAATACTTTAAGCAGGTCTAGATTTGAATTTGTAAATCAAATTATTGTGCATGAAATAATACTTACTCTTATTTTAATTTTTAGCGAATAAGTAGTACAGCATCACTTGGCAATGTAAGATTGGGGAATTTGTCACCGAACGCAGAATATTTTGTTCATTTAATTATATATAGTGAATCAAATGCTCATAAATCTGCAATTATTTCACCAGCAATCAATTTTCATACGTCATGTACAGGTACTGAATCTATACTGATTTAATATAATAATTATTTCATTGTACTAATTAATCTGCATTTTTAATATGAAACCTATATTTGAATACCAAATATACTTAAATCTAAAAACTGGATGATGCATTTTGATGGACACTATTTTTTAGAGTATTTAATACATAATATTTTAAAATGACTTACTCTAAGCTGTAGCTAGTTAGTTTTAGATACACCACCAAGTCCTCTACACTTTGTCCTGTACATTTTTATTTATCGTAGTTTATTCAGCCTGATGTTTGTTTATTCAATTTGGTTAAATTGTTTTCATTCATTCGAAATTTAAAAAATGGTTTATAAAAACTAAAATAATATTGTAATAGAAATGTTACCTGTATCAGTTAAATGAAGATTCATTATACTACTCATTTAATACTCATTTTCCATCCGAATATATATCACGTACCAGTATCTTCAAATTCTCAAATCATTCTATTTGGTCAATTTGTATACTTATATCAATATTTTAATATCACTTGTTAGGAATCTTCTGTTGATTTATTATTATTATTACCCTCAAAAAAATTAAGCTTCGAATAGTTCACAGATATACTTTATCTACTAATTAAAATAACATTGAATTTAAAAAAAAGTGTCTCATTAGAATAATCTAATATAGAGTAAAGTTAGCGACAAAAATACATTTATTATGTTTTGATTAACATGGTGTTCTATTGTTGAGATATATGGTTCAAGATATCCATATCTTTGGCAATTAATTTTTTAACAATGTTTTTAGTTCCTGCTCATCCTGTAAACTTGGCATGCAGAAGTTTAAATAATTCTTCATTGATGTTATCATGGAAAGAACCAAATGTTAAAAATTCTGCTCAACTCTCATATGAAATTATTGTCAACAACACAAACAAAGTTGATAAGATATTGTATAAAAATGGAGACAAAACCAGATTTATCCACAATGGAATAGACTATGGCAGCAATAATTACACGGTTCGTTTTTTTTTCTTCATTTTTTTAGTTTAAAATTTAATTGTTACATTTTGTCATGTGGGACTAATTTAATGAGTTTTAAAATTGAGTAGTCTTGTGACATTGTGTGAAATAAGAGCTAATCTTAACATTATCTTTACAGAGCAAGACGGTCTTATGATTGAAAATATATAGTCATGAAACAACAGTTTTTTTCCTCTTATTCCAATTGACTTAGCTACCAATATTCTTGGTCCATCACATGAATTTAGTTGAATTTAGTAGTTGATCTTGGAAATAGTTAGGTGTCAATTTACGAATACAGATCCAACTTACAGGAAGGCAATTAGGAATAATCCATTCTAATTTACCTATTTTACACTGCTGGCATTTTCAATACAAATAGTGCAAAAATTAAAAAGTATCTGTTTGATTTCAGGTTTGACTTTCATATTCTTACAGATCAAAGTATCATCATACAATTGCCCAGCCAATTCTCAGCAATTTAGCCAATCAAAAATAACAGGATGTAAACCATACCAACCTCCTGTACATCTAACTGTGGAAAACACAACTTGTAGACATGCTACTGTCTTATGGAAAGCGCCGGATGATGAAGGTGTCCAGTGTGTCATAGTTGAATGGATTGTACTTGAGGTGAATGATATTCCAGTTTTATTGAATTGTATCCACATTATGCTGAAAATTTTTTAATTGGCCCTATTTTCAGTGATTTAATGTGTAATATTTTTCTTTAAATTTGTAATGAATTATTGTGGCGCAATTTGCTAAGTGCTAGGAATACCCTCAAAATGGGCTGATAACCAGATGCCAGTGGCTCGTGGACCGTGGCTTGCCATAGGAATAAGGCAATCTATAGGAATTCCTCTCCCCGTATATTATTTTAACACATATATTTCAACAAACAACAATAATGTTGAAATATAAATAAAAGAGTATAAAATGTAGCACTTTCAACGATAATAAATTAATTCTTATGATGGAAATCATTTTTATTTGGGTATTCTCGAATTTGAAATTGATTCTGGCATTCTTAACTTACTGGTACCGTATATGTCATAGTGTTTTTTCGTCATCTGTTTGTTTCCTATATATGACTTTTCCAACTGAGTAAAATTTCTTAGGATAATTTTTTTAAGCAGTTTTCCTGGACATACATGTGACAACTAATTATTACTAAATTTACTAATTTTAGCATCAAAATGGATTCGAAAAATGGAGCCAAAGTTCCCTAATCAGTGGAAATGTATCATTTTTTTATACAGTAACTGATTTAGAACCAAATACTGGATATTCTTTCCGAACAAAACAACAGTGAGTTTCGATAGATTTTATGCTTTTTTTTAATAGTAATTTTTGTCAAGCGAGATAGATGTCACAGACTTAGATTAGATAGATGAGACTGTCATAGATTAGATATATATCAGTAAATTTATTTCTAGATAGGCATCTTGATTGAAATATAAAGCGGTGTGCTCATTATTGATTAAGTGTCACATTGTCAAACATTGAAAATGTCAAATAGGTAAAGATGTTTCTTGTTACATTGGAACAGTGGTTCTCAACCTTTTATGGCTCATGGCCCCTTCCGAAGACTTTTGAATACTTATGGCGCCCTGTTCAGCATTCTAGTGGTATTTAGAGTGTTATTATGATTGGTAAATTCCAAATCCTAATATGATCAAACAATTCATGCTCAACAAAGTTAAAACACCCTGAGAAATAATCTTAATATTAAGCAATGAAACGAGGAAAAGTGGAAATTCTTGTAAAGTGAAAAGTAAAATCAGTTTTACACCTAGCATTGTGGACCATACTGATTAAGGCTTGCACCCAGAATTTCATATAAGATCCTATGCTCTACATATTTTCAGTCAATACATAATATTTATAAACACGATACAATTAGATATACATATGCAGTAATGTTTTATTCTTATTCGTTGTTATCTTGCTTTTGTCTTAAAAGTTTTATTCAATTAATATTGAAGGTTTCTTGTTTTATGATACATAGAAATATTAGTGACTTTAAGCATTTTGAATCAATTTTTATTATATTGTTTAAGATATGTTGGTTATAATGGCAATGAAGGCTGGTTATATTCTGCGCCAGTAAATGGTAGGACTATGCCATCCATACCAGATCACCCACGTAATGTTCGCGTTGTGAAGGATCGTGACATTAATTTCTTGAGTTGGGAGCCACCAAATGATCATGGGGCTCCACTGGAATATTATATAATACAATATAGGTTAGTATTGAATTTATTATAAGTTGAATGAACATAGGGCTTACATACCAACCATTTATGTATATAAATTTTAATGGATATAGGATATCTCTGTGTTTGAGCTAGACAATAAATTTTTAAATTTTTTCAAATCATTTTTTCTTTATTTATCCTTATTTATAAGCAGACAAAAAACTTATGACATGTTATAAGATTCTATTTCACTATGTTGTTAAAAGTATTTTAGTGATGAAAAAGAGAAGAAATTCCTTTACGTAATACTTCCGGTACTAATATTATAGTATGTTCTAGTTGGAGATTAGTTGATCATGTTTAGATTATCTTTTTTGACAAATCTTACATACCGGTATGTTGAGTATATATATGTTGCCCGTTTGTTGCTGTAAACTTTTGAAAACAGAAACATAAACTGCAATAATACCATTCGAAGAGAGAGAAAACTGTGTACTCAATACCTGTTGTACTGTTAGGTGTTTTTCTTTTGTGTTATTTTGGATTAGTTTGATTTGCTACAATATATGTTAATTAGCAGTAGAAGGAGTTACAACTAATCAGTGCTGATGAAAACCAGCAATTCTCTTCCACATGATCCTATTGTGTGGTATACGTGAACCTGAGTTGTCTTAATGTTATTTTGGGACACCAAATTCTGTGATAGAGTAGATCGTACTTAACATGACCACTCAATGAATATAAAAAATACTTGATACCTACCTAATAAAAATCTATTACTAAAATATTTTTAGATACTTAATTTTCCTGTTTTTGGAATTAAGCAGAAATCAATAGAGTTCATCTTGTGATACAATTCCACTACAACTTTAAAGTCGTTTAAATATACAGAATTTTAACTTTCACAAATTTCAATTTTATATTATAGAAATCGATCTTCACCAAATGCAACCCGCATGTTATTCGGTACTTGGTCATCCGAACTGCATGTTGCACCTTTATCAACAGCTTGGGAAATTTATGATGATAGTTTAAATTTTGTGCCTTACTCATGGTATGAGTTCAGGGTAAGTACCGTAGTCACATTTACTAAATTTTCAGATTCTAAAGAGGATGTTCGTTATAACTAATAAACACTGGATTACAAGGATGAAAAGAGTTTTTTTTACCTAATAACATTCTTTGTGATACCTCCACAATCAAAACATTTGCTCATTCCTGATAGAGGATCAGACCCAATACTATCCTTGTTAAAATTGTATATTTCCAATCAAAATTTATAGAATATACTTAAATGAGCAAACTAACAATAATAGACGACTTGAATATGAGAACAAATTCAAATAGTTCAAAAATCTGTTCTGTTATCTGCAATATGCATCTTATATTGAAACATTTATTATACGTTCGATCTCTGTACAAAACCCCAATTTAAGCAATTTATTGAAGGTGCTTGAAGGCTTATAACCAGTGGTGGGATTCGAATTTTTTGTCAGCCGGTTCCTTCACAAAAGTCATATTTTTCAGCCGATTCCGTTACAAACAGAACATTGACAGTGACCAGTAAATCAGTAATGCTAACCGGTTCGCTGATCTCATAAAATTTCATGAGACGGTTCTATAGAACCGGTGCGAACCGGCTGAATCCCACCACTGTTTATAACCTGGTGCACCTTATGGTCCGTAAATTACGGTAGTTTATAAACTCTGTTTAATTTACTGGTAGTCTCCTATAATTGCTTTATATTTATTATAAACAGGTTTCTGCAGTAAATTCAGTGGGTGAGGGAGATGCCAGTAAACCATCTTCACCATTTCAATTTATTCCCAGCCAAGATTTTCAAGGCATGTTATGTATTTTATTTTTATATATTGAAAAAATAGTAAAATATAAAACTAATGGTTATTCCATTTATCAATATTTGACAATTATACTTCGGCTTACCTATTTCAGATATGAAATGTACAGCTGTTTTGACTTTAAAATGATTAGTGTCATAAATATTTATAATTAAAACATGTCAGCTATATCATATTTATAAAAGGATTCATCAGTGCATTGGGCCTATCCATGATAATGATACTGATTTTAGATGGATCTTAATTTCTTATTTCCCGAATTTTGGTTCACTTGAAAAGATACCATTTATTAAGAAAATAAATTTGAAACTCTTCATAAAATTTAGATCCCTATTAGCTTTATTTAAGTTATATATTCGGAAAAAGGAGACATTTGTACCTATAATACTATGAAGTAAATATTTTACAAGACAAAACTTTACTATTCTCCATCAAAAGTTTGATAAAACTGGCAATATTTGCAATGGCACTCTTTTACAATCATATTGTATTCTACGAAGATTTTCCCTAATGTTAGAGGTATTTAGAATAGTATTGTGGTTTGCTTTTAAATATTTTAATTTATATGATAATCAGTGTTCTCTCTAAGGTGTGCGCGTGCACACAGCTTTCAGAGGCTGCGCACACGCATAGATTTACTTCGCACAGACATATTTCGATGTAATATAACAATGTTCTCGGTTGGCAGGTTGAGAAAGTTTGTTGTTGGCCCACCCATTACCCAGTTAGAACGCCAAAATTTCTTCATTGGTTTTTGCACAAATATTAGTCATTTCCAAAAAAGTGCGCACACACCAAAATTTCTGCGCACACATACTACAAAAATTAGAGGGAACATTGATGATAATCATCACTGATCTAACTATTTAAAAATGTATAAGATTTTATTGAAAGTACTTTTTCATCATTTTCATTCAATTTGTATATTTTTTTAATTCAGGAATATTTAATTTTTAGTTCTATATGTATTCTAGGTGATTTTGAACTCTGGATAATTATTGGTGGAACTGGTGGTCTGGTTATGATTATTCTCATCATCATTACCTTTGTTGGTAAGGTGTTTTTTATGTGCATTGTCTAATAACTTTATTTTATTTCGTAGTCAGTCATCGTATTTTGTAGATATACCTTTGCATGTAAGCATGTAAACATTTCAAACAATGCATAGTAAGTCTTCAGATACTACATTCTACAAATTTGATAGCCTCAACACAATGTAATCAGCATCACAGCAATGGAAAATTTATTGGCGCTCAGTCTGTTCACTCAGAAATTATTTACCGTAGTTTTTTCTTCTGATAAATTGCTTGCTGAAACTGTATAGTAGATACCGATCAATTGAAATTGATGCTATTCACTCTGTCATAAAATTTGTTCGCACACTATCCATAAAAGAACAAGTCATTCTGAAATATCAAATCATGTTTTACAGCCTGTAGAAGATGTGGCCAAATGGCAGTCACCTATCAGACCCCACCTTCATCTGATATCACAACAATCCATCTGAGTTATGGAGCCGATCTACAACTCGCACAACTACGCCATATGACAGAAATTGCAAATTATAGAGGAGTGGAAGGTGTTCCACCAGATTATATGGACCTTCTACCACTCTTCCCAAGAGAGAAGTTGAGCCTTACAGATTTTCTTGGAAAGGGAGCATTTGGAGAGGTAAATTCTTTCTTCGACTATTTGAAATGTTTCACATTTGAGAACACAGATGGCATATATACTAAAGTAGTGATGTTAAAATACATTTGTACCAAAAATACAACATTGAGAAATACAACATTGATTATAATCGAATGTCATTTGCCAGTTTCAATTTCAACAATTTTATTAATTCTTGCTGCATAATTCATTGCGAAAGATTTTAGCAAATTTGTTATGTTTAAAATGCGAAAAGTATTATTTATAAAGTTTTTTTTATAAAACAATACATTCATATAGATCCGCTAATTTTAATTTTAACATCTTTAGGTTATACACTTCAACTTCATTGAAATATCGTTTTTGTCTGATAGGTTTTCAAAGGAATTGCTATAGAATCAGTCGGAGGCATCAATATTGAGAAGAAAGTAGCCGTGAAGACGTTGCAAGAGGGTTCAACCGATAGTGAAAAATGTGAATTTTTGATGGAAGCTTATTTTATGAGGTGCGTTCAGTTTTTTAGTAATACCGTCACAAAGATTGCAATCAATGTTTGGTTAAATTCTTATATAAATTCTTTTGTTATGAATATGGGTAAGGAATCTATTTCAACAGCTAAGGACCGAGATATTGAAATATCTTTATTTGCAAATTCCGATATGATTTAATGAATTCAAAAATTATTCTCAAAATGGCAGACGTTGTGTAGGTTGATACTTCATGATATACTCATTCACTATGATATAGAATTTTAATTCACTGATGATACAAAAATATAAAATTCTCATTGTATTCAGTAGAGCCGATACTCATCATCACAAACTTTTCATTGTACATAATATATTTGAAAGACATCAAATTCTATAATAAATCCTATAACTGACCTAGACTGGTAACTGATTGTGTTCCTCACATAATTTGATTAGGACATCTTTTCATATTTTTTTCTCTAGAATGATTATGAAATCCAAATACGATAATGGTATATCATGTTTTATGACCAAACAAAAAAAAACTGAGATAATAAAAATTCAAATATAAATGTTAAATTTGGCTCGAATAAAACTTTAGGAAAATACATTTGTTCATAATCTTATACATTCAATACATTTTAGCCGGTATAAGTATATATTTTCTCCCTAATACAATGGTGTGATATAATGATACCATAGGTTTGAATTACGGTATCTACATCTCTAGATTCCATATTAATAGATTCATTTTGAGAGTAAATTATTACATTGCATTCACGTAATACTATAATTAAGTGGTTTTATATTTTCCTGTGTGCGGATAGCCTTGCGTAGTTTTGCCACAAGGCATTCTTTTCTATTCTATTAATGATCACAATTTTACTAAATGAACTTATCTTAGGTTCATCAGTGTTCATTTTACCCTGAGGCATTTCATATTATTTGTTGGCATCCTTATTCTATTGTTATGACGATCTCCTAAAAAACACTTGATAAATTGAAATATTACATAATTTTTGAAAATTCAAATTTGATAAGCTTATTCAACATTGTTTATCATATTTATCTATCAGCCTTAGGCGAAATGTTTGTTTCGAATTCTCCACGAGCATGTGATATTAATACAATCGACATTTAACCAAATAACTATTTGTTCTACTCTACGGCTTCTTCCCCCATCAGGTTCATGAATCTGATACAAATAACTGGCTAACTAATCCTGTACCTCACTTGGACTGGAACCCGTATGAAGTGGTTTATCATATGATTAAGCTGTCTTAGAGGCTTTCGTCTTCCCCGGGATAAATATGTAAATCCTATCCTTCATAACTTCGTTTTGTTGATAATTTGTTTATTAATAACTATGAACTTCAAACACTACAGAAAAACCTATATGTTTTTTGTATTTAATCTCAGGAAAATTTAGGGGGAATATATTTCATATTATATGTATTCTTTTGTTTATATTATATGTGCATGTCATCACTTTTTGCTAGGAAGTTTCGAATATTTCTTTTTCGAATTAGAATATTTCCGATTCTGATTCTATTTATTACAACATCATATTATAGTCAACTTTCTTTCAAATAATTCCAAGATTAATTGTGCTCAAATTGTACGGCTTGGTGAAAAGCTGTAAATTCACAGAAAATATAAACACTGAACGCTTTTTGTCAATGTTGAAACAACATCACGTCGTCACCTCAAGTTATCTCAATTCTTATTTTTTTCATATGTAATCGAATCATATTTTCTGAGGTTGTTTTGAATCAATTCAAATTGATGTTATTTGAATCACTTCGATTCAAAATTTTAAAAGTTACGGTACATCTCCTCTCTTTGCTACTTGCCCTGTGTTATATTTGTATGATTGAATCCTGCGAATATTGGATACTGAGACTTGGTACCATAACCGTTGATTAGTTTGTTATTGTTTTCCAATCCATTTTGAAAACATAACTGGTTTGCTATTCTCTCTCCTGATATTGTCTGGTAATTAAATGAAAGACCATTGATTTGCCATATGATATGGTCTCTTTCTCAGAATAAATTTCAAAATCCCAATTCTACCTCATCATTTTGTCATTCCATTAAGTTTACCAAATGGGTTGGTGTACTTTTTGTGATATGAAATTTTGCTCACGCTTTAACCTATACACTGTGAAGGTCTCTGTTTGTCATAAGACAGGATGTTTTCAGCCTAGCTGTGTTGTCAATTTAAATTTCTTTATTCCTTTGGTGCATATTTATAATTCTTTTTTTAGCACATTCAATCACGAGAATATATTATCTCTGATCGGAGTATGTCTGGACAATGAACCTCAGTATTTATTATTGGAATTAATGGAAGGAGGAGATTTATTGCATTATCTGAGAGATGCCAGATCTGATTCTGTGAGTCATTACATTTTTGTCTTTGCAAATTATCTATGTTTTAGATGCATGCAGCATTGCAGGGAATTTCACCCTTATGGTCATGCTTTGAGTTGGTATATATTTGTTTTGGGCCAGTTGCAAATAATTGATTAATTATCCCTTTAAATTTTAATTCATCTCTGTATGTTCTGTCTTTTTAAAGAAACGGATGTCCTTAAAAACTTTTTTAGTTGATTGTATTTATAATATGTTATAGGTAAATTTCAGTTTAGGTTTTGTGGCATTTCTATAATTCATATGAAAATTCTTTAGTTGATAAAATTGATACAAAATGTCAACATAATTTTAATACTATCATACTATTCTTCACTATCGTACTACTCTGTGAAACTGGAAATAAATCATGCGCAATCACTCCAGTCTCAACTAGTTACCACAAACTTTTCAAATTCTTCCTCTGTCTGTATATATACTCTATATTGAATGCACGCACATGAAGAGTTTCAAATGATTTTAAATTCTAGTCGTTTCAGAGAAAATAAGTCGCTCATCGCTTCTTTGTGGCTAGTTGTTTTTAGCATAAATGTTTGAAAAATGTTTAATGAAAAAATTATTATCTCTCCTTATCAAATATCATGTATTATTGTCAGCTCATTAGCCTAAAACTCACCATGGCAGATCTACTTGATATATCTCTGGATGTCGCAGCGGGTTGTAAATACTTAGAAGAACAAAGGTTTGTCCACAGGTATTTATATATTGCTAAGTTTATTATCAAAATTATAAATGGATAATAGGATAAATTAATATGGTAAATGGCTATTCAGAATTTTAGATATATAATTTAGATAAATCAAATTTTCTATTTAAAATATCCATAAAAAGTAAAACTATTCATTTCTTTTACATATACTTTTCTCACATCTTGAGGGATGTTTTAGATTTTAAACTTGAAAGTTAATTTTGTTATCTTCTGGTAGTAGATTGAATATTTATAAGACCGTATATTAATATAGAATATTTTATAGGAAATTGTATAGTCTTATCAATATGGATTCGATTACCTTTGGTCCGGTTGTAACAGTTTCGATTACGGTATTGGAATAGGTGATTGTCATTATACTTTTTTAAACATGTTCGTTTTCATGTATATTCCAGAGATCTTGCAGCAAGAAATTGTTTGGTTTCAACAAAAGAATATCGTACAGAGACGAGAATTGTTAAAATTGGTGACTTTGGTCTTGCCAGGGATATTTATAAAAGTGATTATTATCATAAGGCTGGGGAAGGACTTCTTCCTGTACGTTGGATGGCTCCTGAGTCTCTAGTTGATAATATTTATACATCACAAAGTGATGTTTGGTAAGTGGTAATAAATATACTATGATTTTTTGAGTTTTCCTGTATCTCTGTATTGAAATCCTATTAGGATTTTATATTTATTTTTCCAAGCACTTTTTCCAACCTATGTGAAATTTCCTTTCTTGACTGTTTTCTGTATCATATTATTTCGAACTGTTTCAAGCCTGGGTATCAAGGGGTAAGAGCGTAATACACAATCATATACATTTATTTAACTTCAGTAGCTTTTGACATTCTGTGGTCGCTCGTAAAAGTACTCAGAGGTTGGTCTCTGTTAGTTCATGCTTCTTTATATTGACCGAATTCTCTTGAACGAAAATAAAAAACACTCTGGCATTCGTATTTCTGGGTTGCATAACTGCAAGTTCAAATATAAGTTTTATGAAAATAAATCATCACTTTTCCAGTCAAAATGAAATCTTTATTTGTACATTTTTTATTTGATGCTTGTACATGTCGTTTGCTCTGAACAAGGCCTCATACAAGTACCCTGTGATTTGATTCAGCATTGCTTACCCAATTTATTAGGCGAGTTGGAGAGCATGGGATTTGAACCCGTGATGTTTAATCTGTGATGCCAACAAAGTTAAGTCTAACACCCAATTTTTGCTCACTTTTGAACATAAGGTTGCTAATGTCAAATTTTCGTCAGTATTAACTTAAACTTGCTTATTTTGTAATAAAAAATATGTCTAAACATACATCGTTGCCATGATAAATATATAAAAATCCACAAACCAAAAAATCAGATAACTTCATTATTTGTGTGTATAAAGTTTATTTTCTAAAATACTTCAAGTACAGTACACAATTTTCTAATATGAAACATTAATATTTCGTTATCTGACTACATCTCTATAAGCTCTTTCGGTAAGACCGCAGTATTCATTAGTTCTGAGAGTTTTTATTATCATATTTCAATCTGTTTTCAAAGGTCGTTCGGAGTTCTGTTGTGGGAGATTTTGACATTTGGACAACAACCTTATCCAGCTCGCACAAACATTGAAGTGTTACAATATGTCAGAAATGGTGGAAGACTTAAAAAACCTCATGATTGCCCAGATGATTTGTAAGTCATGATTTATACATGCTCGTGGGAGCAAGAAAGCTAGATATGTCCAAAGCAAATTAAATAGTCCAATCAATTTGAAATCAATTATATGTAATATTTTAAAGTTTATGAATAATTTAGATTAATTTCATATGTGAAAATATTATAACTGTGTTAAATTGAGGTTTCACAATATAAATTTTTGGAAACTGTAAAAGGAGGGAGTTTTTCTATGAAGCTTATTATGACCTTTGCTCCTAACAAGGCCAAGCAATATATAGGGGGCTACTTTTACTTACAAGAATCTTTTACTTACAAGCAATGTCTACCCAATTTACTACACCCTGGGTGAGATGGGGGGCATGGGATTTGAACCCAAGAGATTTAATCTGTGACCCCACTGAGGTAGGTCTGGCGCTTTAAGTACTATTCCATCGTGCTGCCCAGAAATTCAATGAAATCATTGTTCATGTCAAATTTTGGGCATTTCCTAATTAAAACTCATTAACATTGTCTTTTCTGTGTTATTTGTTAAACATAACCCAAATCTGAATATCTTCAATGTTTCATTTCATAAAAAAAATTATTATTTCAGCATAGTAAATTTTTAGGTTTTGTCCATTTGGTTTTAGATAAACAATTGTAAAGTTTTTAAAAAAAGTAAAAACTGAGAAACTTTGTCACTATTATTGCTACATGTTCTCACATATGCAGTAATACATAACGGTACTTATACCATATACAAAGATGGCTAATTATGTGAGTACCACATATTTATGAAAGCAATTGCTCAATATTATCAATTTCAATAAGAAACTCTCAGGGAAATTTTTTATCAAATTAGTCAACTGAGATTAGATTGGATATTTATGTTAGGTAGAGTAAACTTAATAAAACAGCATATTTCTATGCCAAATTTAGGTTAGTTAGGTCTTTTTTTTTTTGTCATTTTTTAGACCAATTATGAGAATAGCTAACCAGTTTAGCTTTGAAAATTCATTGGTGATAGAAAAATCGAAATCAATAGTGACATGAACTTAAAAGAGCAAAGGAGCAAGTAAATGTATCTCATACAATCATTCTAACACGATTCAAACCTGGGACATTCGTGGAGACAGTCAATCTAATTTTCAAAAATCTAGAAGAAGCCAAATTTGAAATTTTCTTCTTTATGAAAACTTGTTCTAATTTATAAGTAATAATTAATTTGCTAATACTTTTCAGCTATTCATTGATGATCAAATGTTGGCACAATACTCCTACTCTTCGCCCTTCATTCAGCTGGGCTGTCAAATGGTTACAACAATTCAAGGTTCGAATCCATTTCATTTTTTTTCTTTTTGCTAAATCACTATTCTTTTGAAGCAAGATCCAGTTCAGAATCCTAACAGCAAACTATCAGTTTAGTATAAACTATTCAGAACCACATAGCGATAAATGTTGAAAACAAGCAATCTCACACAAAGTTAAACTGATATTACTTTAATAACCTTGAATTTATTGGTATATTTGAAATATGTCTGAGAGTTTCTTTATTTTCTGTTTCTAAATATTAGATAAACTATGGCAATTTGACATCGTAAGCCAGGGAGAGCAAAATTAATTGACTGTTCAAATCGATTCAAATTTATATATATGCAATATCTTAAAATTTGGTTTTGGGAATAATTTAGATAGTTTTCTTTAAAAAATTATTATTTTTTCATTTGAAATCTAACAGTTAAATCAAAAAAACCTTGATTTAATTTTTGTAAAATATAAATAGTATACGAATAGTATTATGCTATTCCCAATAATTGAATATATCGTACCTATATACATACTTGTATGCAGTGGTGAGCTGTAGTTGGAGCGCCGTTTCTGTTGTTAATTATTTTATATCATTTGCGCTCCTGTTGTTGAAATAAAATTAAGTCATAGAAAATTTAGTTTCTCTGGTGAACTTACCGTAGTTATTGTACGGTTTGTTACTTCATAATTATTTTTACATCATGGTAGACAAATTACTAGTACGGCCGTAAAATGTAATGGATGTTTCCTTGACCTTTGACACCGGGAACATTCTTCCTATACCTTCCTATTATGATATTTCTCTTGTTTATTTTTAATAATAACAGGAACATTGCAAAGTTATTTTTGACTTAAGATTAACATTTGTATTGAATTGCTATGAATTTACTTGTCATTTTACACAGACATATTTCAAATAATTTCTTCTTATTTTAATGTAACTCTTCGGCTGTATCTTAGGACAGACAAAAATTTCTGTGTTGTTAATATAATACATTTTTACGAATTAGGTGTTATATACTGCTTATATATACTTATTCTATTGGACATTGACTTCTACCTGATTGAAACACCCTAAACTGTGGTCTAATGCCACATTTCACTAAAACTTTGGAATATAATTACCAGTTTCTTACTTTATCATAGCCATGGTATCTGAAATAATATTATTGAAATAATGCTTTACTATTGATAACAATCATTATGAATAAATATACCGTAATTGAAAGTATTAATTATTCAGGATCGAAATGTTGCTTCTGCAAATGAAGAAGACAATTATAGATTTGATCTTACAAATATAACATCATCCGAAGAAGATCTGGCAACAGCAGATGAAGAAATAGTGATTGCAAATGTTCACCCACAACCACAAATACACATTCTTCCTGATATTGAGGGATTTGATAATGAAGGCTTTGAGCTCCATGAATGTATGTATATCAAGTATTGTATTCTGATATGTTAGGGTTTAGGATAGAAATGACACTTTGACAGAAGGTTCAAGTATTCACATGAAGTGAAATTCATACAATTTGGACAAGTTTAAGAGAGTACAAGCACAAGTCGGTCATGACATTTTTATCACCCCTCAATACATGGTTGCAGAGTTTAACAGAGTTGAACAGGTCACTAAAATAGACTTGCATAGTTCATAAATTGAACTAACATGCTGACTAGAAGATATGTCTGTATTGTTCCTCAATTCGGTAATCAGTTTATTCTATTTTTCTTCAAAATTTTAGCTTCAAGTAGAGGAGACCCAATGGCAACTGAGCTTGATTCTGACAATGAGGTTGCAGGTGTATCGATGGACGATATTCCTGCTTATTCTTTCCTTCCCTCGCCAAACGATATCAATTTAGGAAGTAATTATTTATTGATGTCTACCCAAGATATGGAATTCAATGAACGGCAACCCCTTTCTCAAGGAGAAATAAACATTGGATTCCAAGTAAGATTTCTTCATATAGCAACAAATATATGTATCAGTGAGTAATGCTAGAAATGCTCGAGTTATTAACTTGACTTTAGTTGGACCGGAATTACCGTTTATCAAAGACTCGAAACATTCTGATGGAATAAATTGTGCACATATCCAATTGAATGCTAGAGAGATTCAACTAAGTGATCAACTTGACTTGGATTATATATGAATAACGACTCGGATGACCCATGACTTCGGCTTAACTCCGGACCAGGATGACCCATGACTTTGGCTTGACTCTCCACTAAGATGACTCAACTCTACTCTCGACTCGGATGACCCATGGCTCAACTTGACTCTCAACTCTGATGCCCCGTGACTCAACTTGACTCTCAACTCTGATGACCCATGACTTAACTTGACTTTCGACTTTAATGACCATGGCTAAACTTGACTCTCGACTCTGAATATCCATGACTCAACTTGACTGTTGACTCAGATGACCCTTGACTCAACTTGACCCTCGACTCAGATGACCCATGAATCCGGCTTGTCTTGCTACTCGGATGATTCATGCCTTTGGCTTGACTCGCGGCTATTTTCTTATTTATATATGACTATATAACATAGGGTAGTATACTCTCAGTCAAATATTGAATTCCCATATTACTTTAAATATTTTTTATAAGTCCAAAATTGTTTGCATAGTTTACAAAATATTGTCTTCAACTTCAAGGATTCCAGTATTCATAATCACAATATCTACTTGCATGGAACAGCATTGTGTTTGTTCCATGTTTGATTATTTTTAAAGTCATATTTTTATCGGATTAGGATGAAGAGGATTCCGAGGATGCAAATGATGATATTTTAAATTGTGCAATGCTGAATTTTTCCACAAATGGAAAGCAACCTATTCCTACTTCTTCAAGGTACGATTTATGTGCAAGTGTCACATCCCCTTGTTTGGTTCAACAAAGCTTGCTTAATAATGACACCGTAATTCAAGTTTTATATTTTGAATAGAATTTACCACAAAGTTATAGATAAAAGTTGAAAACCAATGATTGGTTATGTTTGCTGCATCAAACCACCCATTATGAAACAAATACTTACTAGTTCAAGCAAAGGAAGGCGAAAGACTCACACAAGTTTGTTGCGCAATGTCTGAAAAAAACCTCATTTAACATGCATTATATTAAACCATGTCTTTACTATTATACTGATTAGCTCTATTCCTATGCCCATTCTCAACTGGCAAACTAGCCAATCTAAAGGGTCAACTGACCATAGCTACTACTCCACTAAAAGTCGCAACGTTGTGGCTTGGTCTCACTATACCTACGGCCCAATGTATGGTGCTTTGGGAAATTTTTCATCATGACTTACAGATCTGACACATCTTTTTAATCTAATTGCTCCATCATCACTTCTTTATCTGAACTAAACAGATTCTCTCCAGAAGTTGGAAATACACAATCATTGCCTTCCTGTTCGAATTCTGATTCGCATTATTCACGTCAGCCTGATTATTTACTGCCATATATCGGAGATCTTCCAATAACTGACGAAGAAAGACTAATGCGAAAACAACAATGGAATAGACAAAGAAGACTTCGAATGGAAGAGGTTTGAAATATAAATTGTTAAATTATCATTTCAAATGATAAAATCAACAAATTTAATGGAAGTCATGGATAAAATATTCTTTACGCAAGGAGGCCTAAGCTATTGAGGATGATACAACTTCGCCTTCCCTCAGAATCAAAAGAAACCAAAATTGAAAAAAATCAAAAGAGATGTAGGGATCATTGTGATAACTTTGATAACTAATCTCTGTGGTGAAGCATCCAGTTTCTAAGATACTATTATTTTTAAAATGAATATCATCATCATCATAGTTTATCTCACTATCTTCTCCATAAGCTAACCATAAACTAAATCTGGAAATCAGATAAAATCATTGATGTAACACGTAATGTGACTCATTTCTGAACAAATTGACAAGATTCTGATCGACCATATAAGGTAAAACAAACAGATAAATTAAATTATGCACGTTTCATCAGAAATTGAATCCATTTGAATTTTTGTGAGATAAAGAGATTTTATCATTTTTCGTCAACAACTAAATTATAACAAATCATCGGTAATGTGTATAAATTCAAAATTAGATTGAAATATGCTAATTTGAACTTCAGTTCATTAATGCCACTTATGCCAGTCACAATTCTAATCACATAAGGAAATGGGATTTCTAATATTCTCAAATTTACAGGGGCTTGGAGACACATCAAGTGAAGATTCTCCAACATTTACACAAGCTCGAACATCTTATTCTCTTATGCAAACGAGAGATCATCAACGACTCTTAAATCAAAATGATATGCAAAACTCATTAGCTTCAACCAGTGATAATATATCAGATGATTTGTCTGAAACAACGACTCCCATGAAAGTATTTGATTCTCTTGAATCTAGTCACACTTTCGGCGAAGAAAGACCATGTAGTGACGATGAAACAAGCCAAGAAACTTATTCCTATTCTAGACAACTTTTTACCTCAAATTATACCGATGATGACAATGAAAGTCATCATTCTTCTGAACACGAAAATCCCAGAGTAAATATTCCAACTTATGTTTAAATTGATGTTTCCAATTTTTTTAAATTATGTCTTATTGATATAAACTTTATATTTATTACATCTTTTTCTTTGATTTCATTTCTACGTTCAGTTTTTTGTTTGTTCTTTATATGGTCAGACCAAGTATGAATTCCGTTAAACAAATTAACTTTTGTTTGTAAACCATAATTGGTGCCACTTCAGTATGAGATAATTTGCTTAATGTGATTCCAATTGCATACCAAAGTGGCACCAATTGTGATCTCATAACTCAAGAGCTTTATTTCTATCTGGGCTGAATTGTGAATCCTGTATCGAATACTAGACCGGTAAGATTGAAGTTGCAGGGATAAATGCCATCAATAATTAATAAATATGAAAAAATCATGTGAGTATCAATTTCTTGAAGATATTCCACTCTTTGATGCAGAATGATATTGTTTTTATTACTTAAAAAGTCGTGACGATTGATTCATATTATTTTCAACCTTTACAATCAAATATTTCAATTTAACAATATATTTTGAATATCATTTTATAAATAAAACTCGGGATTCATCATAAAACAACTTGAAAGGAATGAGGCCATGATCACTTTGAAGAAAATTGACAATATTGCCATCTTATTTCCGCTTTCTTCGTGTCCCTGTCCTTGTACGTTTTACCTGCCTCAGGATTAAATATTAACACATACTGTTATTTTTTCTATTATCGTCTTAAATAAATGGCGTCTCAATTTTAAATCTCACTTGTCTAAAACTTGTCCCACACTTCTCCCGCCTATCCTAATGTTCTGAGTTTGGGTAGACACATGCTGTTGGTCCATGCATCAGAAATGAATGACTGGTTAACTCTTCCCCGCCCGAAATGGACGGGTAGCCGCAAAGGAGGCTGTGATTTGTAATATACATGATTCAGTTGGCTTATCAGCTCCCCCTCCTCTGGTATAAATTTGAAAATTCTAAATCTTACTAGTAAAGCAAAAGTGGGCAAGACTTTTTTAAAACACTACTAATAAATATTCATTCAAACAATATTTCGTTGCTGTTAAAGCCATTGTAGTTACTCTTGTTTTTGTTCGATGTTATTAATGTTTGAAATATTTCACTGTTTGTACTAAATAAATAGCCTTATAGTGTTAGTTATCGCTAGAATTTTATAATTTTGAAGATAAGAATGGTTGGTATATTATGTTCCATTTTCACTGAATAATTTGTGTTAACAATTTCGATATATTAATGTTTGCAGTTGTTTTTAAAACTTTTTTTAATCAAAAAATGAGTATTAATTTAACAGTGGGATTGTACCATTATTTATCGTCAATTACAATTTATTAGTAAATGTTGTTTATTTATATTTTAATAACTTTTTGGGGTAACATTTTTGCATGTAGTGTTTTTGTATTTAAAGACTACAACGAGTCGGTGAAACTGAATTATATGTATTTGAAAGTACAGAATGAGGATGAAACCAGTTTATGCTACATCTGAAAACGTTAAGTATAACACAAAAAATTATAAATATTATTAAAAGTCATTGGCAGTGAAAAGGCTTCGTTTTGGCTCATACTTTTACTTTTTAATATGCACATGCCTGGTACATTGCCAATATTTGCCAAAATCTCACGAGCCAAGGATATGATCTAATTCTTTGGAAAGTCTCGTAGTATTGAGCTGACACAAAAAAGATATAAATGCGGTAATTTATTATTTCAATTGTCTATCAGCTTACACCAGTGACATTATATATTGGCAGACTATAGGTGTGTGCCATAGGTAGTTTTTTACTAGATTTCTTACTGTATCTTATTTACTGCAAACCGACCCGTGTTAAATGTACAATATTAATGATAAATAAATACACTTCTATAATATATATGGGTAATGCCAACGATTTTTATATACCGTGTGTAGTTACTAGAATTACTTGTTATTGGTGGACTTGTTTCTACTATTTTTTTTTACCAAATATTGATTTGCTATCTAACATAAGGCACATACATAGTCGATATAGTGCTGAATTTATTTATGTTTTTATTCTTATTTTGATACGATTATTTCAAACTATTATGAAGTCTTTTTTGTGAAACTTGGAATAGATTTGAAGAAGTGAAAGGATAATTTTAATTCAATTTATAGTCACTCTGGGCGAGAAAACAAGGATGAAGACAATGTGGAGATGGTGAACGGTGTACCACTAATAATAGATTAGATCAAAATTCCGAGTGACAACTAGTGACAGATAGTTCTCGTAAAGTTAGGAATGCGAGTTTCTGGGGGGAGAGTTATCTGCATTTCAGTTTGCTGGCCTAATCCAACGATCGGATAAAGTTGAAAATCGCAAACATTAGTGATTAGATTGTTCTATAACAGATAATATTGTACTTGTAGACGTAGTTTTATTCCTCTCTCATTATGCATAAAGTCTACTTTATTCACTCAATCTTTGAAGGATCTTTAACTTAGTGTTATTTATGCACAATTCACACGCGCGCTTTTGTACAGTCCTTGTGTGCATACAAGTATTATAGTATACAAAGTATAAGTATAGTATCTAAATACAAAGCAAAATTCCTCCCCAAAAACGACAAAATTCCTCCATGGAGGGAATTCCCTACCCGATTGGATAACGTGACCTCAGTGAATTTTTGTATTAAGTCACGTAGTACCTGAGTGAGCTCGATCATTGATTCTTGTTTGTAACGATAAAGCCGAATCGGATTGCTGGGTATTACGGAGTCGCGTAGTGGTTCACTCAATCGCTGATTGGACGAAGCCATGGCTTGTTGCGTGATGAAGCGATCTTATCCACTTTCTTCCTTCCCTTGATAAAAAAAAAATACCGAATTTTAATCTATATGCTACTTTGGTTGATTTATTGGGTTAGTTTTGCAAATTTTAAAAATTACTCGATATAGTATCTTTTGCCAGTAAACATGCGTTTCCATTGAATCGTGATCGATTGGATCGTAGGCTTAGATTTACAAGCAACACAGGTAGAATATCATCGGCGAGCTAAAACCTGAAATATTGACAGGGGGTTCCTAGTGGCAAAATTGTTCCAAATCTGCAAATTAGATTCAATGCAAATTCTACAATATTACCTTGAATACAACATTTGTTTATTACTTTTCTCATTGCATTTTATATAAACATACTTTCAGTTCCCAGGATACCACTTTCAGTTCCCAGGATAATTATCTATAGATATACAAACATTTATTTGTATAAACTAACAGACTTCCACCACATAAAATATTCCTAATGAGTAGGGCTGGGAATTTCAGGGAAAACACTTTAACCGTTAACCGGGCAAAATTAACCGGTTAACCGCCGCGTGACGTTTGACGTAATAATTTATAATTTCGGCTTGTTACGTCACCATGCTTATAAAGCAATTTCGCGTGTTCTTATCCCGGTATCGCTTATTAAAATTATTCACGAATCGAGATAGTTTCATGATTGCTCTGCTGCAAGAGATATGCAGCGTGGTTCGGGCGTGTGGAAGTATTTAAGAAAACTTGGTTCCGTTGTTAAACGTCATTTATGTGACAAATTATCAGTGTTCGATGTGCAAATTTTACTTCGAGATATATATCAAATAAAGAAAAACTGCGCACTTGTTGTATGACATTGAATATCCGATTTTGCAATGAAATCGTGAACCAGACATTTCGAAATCGATCGAAAACTGATTCTGAATTCATCATTGTCAAATTTCCATAATCAGCAATCTTGGTACTTCCGTTATTTTTCACATTTATTGAGTCCTTACCCACACAATTAGTAATATTCTTTTTAATTAAATGCCACAAGAGATAAATTTGCGATGACGTAATCATATTTGAAGAAAGTGTACGGTATGAAGATGATTTGTACCTGAGATGTCAGTTAACGGTTGAAATAAATCGTAACCGTTAACCATATGAAATCGGTTAACCATTCCCAGCCCTGCGTAATGAGTCTTTCTTTTGTCTTACCTTAGGCCTTATTCATGTTCACTTTTTACGCCCATAAGCGTACTGTGCAATTGATACAAATACTACATGTGATTCACAAATTGAATTTATTTTGCATATATGTATATGAATAATTAACCAATAATTAGTATGTAAAAACAATAACGATCAAAGGGAATTAAATTACGCTATATAACACACATTTATACACTGCTGAAATACAAATATGATATACGAATTAGCAGTAATAAAAAATATACTGTTAGAAAGTTGTAAATTATCAGGCTTTACAGTGTAATTCAAGATATCTCTTAATAGAGGCAGATTTGAACTAGTTGTAAATACAAATTTCGTTCTATTTATCATGCATTGCAAAAGAGATTGCATTTTTGCATTGTCTGAATAATTTCTGCTGAGTAGTTGATATGGACGGATTACAATGGATTTCATGGGTAAGTAATTGGCTGGCTTTATCTGCGTAATCGAAATGTAAACATGACAAGCCATAATCGGATTGCATGTAAACAGCACCAAGAACATTCGTATCAGACATGAACATATGATATTTTCACTTAGTAGAAGGATATTTGTAATATTAAATGTGGCAGAGTATAGAAAATAAGAGATTAAGGTTTGGCAAATGATTGATCAATGATAAACAAATCGAAAAGTTTGGCTTCATTGGACGAGGATCAATGCTGGTTTACTGCGTTCGCCACCCTTGCTTTCATGCGTTCGCTTATTGGCCAGAAATGGCCTTATTGATCGTTTTGTTATTATGTTGTTCTTGTGCAAAATCGCTTTTATCTCCAACTACTGGGCCAATTGCTTTCAAATTTTCACTGGCTAAAGCTTGCTTGTTGTCGCTGGAAGGCTATTACTTTATATATTTTAAAAATATGTGTAGGTTTTATAGAATTCGTTTTTCACTTCGAAGGTTTGTGTGATGACGCCATCGAAATTAAAAAATTGCGCATCGTGCCCGGGTTCGGTGATGACATTTCAGTGATCTAGTGGTCAGATAAACCGGTACTGTAAAAGATTTGATACCACTTCGTGTTCTTATATTAGACTAGAGCATTGCTCTTTTGTTTATAGAAAAAATACTGCCTAATAGTTTATCAACGTTGTCGAAAATCATCAAGATAACTTGTAAAATAATTGATAGATGCTTCTTTATAGTAAGGTTGAATATTTGAAGACTTTTTGCTAAAGTAACCAACTGCTTTTTCAGAATATTCCCACAAATCTTCAGCAATTTGTTGATGATCTGCCGGCAGAATCGGTTCCTCAGGCCTATAAGGAATTTCAATATATAAACAAACTTTTCTACTTTGTGGTGTATGGTTTATTTATAAAGCACCAGTAATCCATTTCAAAACATTGTTTAGGTTGTGTCAAGATCTGAGAATAAACAATATCAAAACATGTAAAGTCGTTTAACAAATTGTCATTTTCTTGGATATCTAACCTGCATTCTGTGAAGTGTTTTCCGCTGTAAATTTCCAATCCTGAGCTGACACTACAATGTACTTGTGTTTGACAACCTTCATCAGCTGTTTTCAAAATTAAATAGAACAATGGGTACGTAATGAGTTTAAGCAACCATGGAAAACCTCGGAAAATTCCCGTGAAAATTGTACCTGAAAGTAAAATAATGAAAATTTACAACATATTTTCCATCTTCTTGTTTCGTTACGTTACATATTCGTTTTACGAAATTGTAATTATTTATGGAATTCTCTAATGGATTATGATCGGTTAAATTCGACATAGTAAATTCTTGATTTTACATATAATTTCAAATTCTGATCATTCAATATCTGATAGTCATAGCAATAGGCTCCGTTCAACTTTTATCAAGGTAAAAATTGACAATCAAACAATTTTTCTGTATTACCAAATGTATTTTGTATATATTTACATTTTGATTTGTGCAGATTGATCTGTTGAATATGACGTCAATCAAAACAACATTAATTTCTATTTTTCTGTATTGCCAAATGTATTTTGTATATATATATATATATATTTACATTTTAATTTATGAAAGAAAATTGATATGTTTAATATGTCGTAATTAGAATATATCCGATATTACATAATCGAAAATATTATTTCGGAAAGTTTTTAAGACGGATATTATTCACGCTGCTATTTTTGGAAAGACCGGCTTCTTTCCGGTCCGATATTTCCGGGGTAGTGACTCGATCGGTTTCATTCCTATTACATAGATTTAGATATTTTGAACAATTATAGTTTGTGAGTGTCCAACGCCATCATGTTTCCGTATCGCAAAGTATAATGTCACTTTTGAAGCGTGTTCCATATCACAATGCCATCGATCATCTTTGGCATTTCATTGCTATTCTAGATTCATTTCTCAATCCTTAAAATAGTAAATGTAATTCAAAGACCGATTTATGATGACGACCGTTATTCGTTTATCATCTTCAAATCATTTTATCACATAATGACGTTATTGAATTGCGAAATCCCCAGAGTTTTTTCGGAGTGAATCGACGTTTTATAAAGCGAAATCATAGGCCACAAACATGCCAAACAACAAATTTGTTACAAAGAGACAATTAGATTATTTCTCAGATTATATTATGTCATCTAAGTTGCCACGTTTACCAATAGAAATTTTAATGAATGTGACTTTCAAGGAACACTATCTGTGATGTATTACTAAAGTTTAGCAAAAAAAAATGGAGAAGCAACAGAAAAATTCATAAACAGCAACACTCGAAAGCAAGTAAAGTAGTTTTACTAAATTATATCTTTTTCGTTCTTGTTTATTGTTATTTTGAGTAGTTTAAAGATTAAAACCATATGTTATATTTTAATTAAACGTCTACACATTTTCCGTCGCCCACAAATGTAATAAACTAGAATAAAACTATATATAATAAACAAAAAACAACATAAGTAATGTTTTTTTTTATAAAAGTAATTGTACCTTATTGCTTCTTATCTTGTTTCGGAAATTATTTAGAATCGGAAAAAAACCCTAAACTAATCTTGACATATCGCGAAATTGTTTAGCCGTCAATTTATTTTTACATAACGTCATCTATGATTGAATGTGATAAAATTTTCTCTTCATTATGTAGTTTTTCAGCTCGATGATATACTTTTAAATATTGAAAAACGTGGTAATTATATATACATTTTTGCGGTTATTCATTTGTCTGCAATTTTGCACCGATTGCTGCTTTGTTAAATGAATTATATCCTTCACAGGGACAAAGTAAATCATTGTCTAATTCTTTTTAAATGTTAAGTAAAACAAAACTGATGTACGACATGTTTGAATAACCTTCCACTTTCAAAGCAAAGATCAATTATCTGATTACAGAGAGCAATTATCGGACCCGTGTAAGCTTGATGCTTGTAGATAAATGATAAATAAATGTATCGTGCACACGACAAAACCCTTCGATATTATCTGCGCACGCGAAGTTTGACGTTTGAGGTAATATTAATATAAATCATATTATTTTAGTATGAATTTGGAGGTAGTATAGTGTATAACTTTCACGACTGGTATTTGAAATATCACACAGCACTAGTCTTTCACCCCTTTTGAACTGTCCACGTCATATTATTATTGCAAAATCGCAACGAAAATTACCATTTTTTGACATTTCTATCTCAAGTGTGACACGACTTGTAACAAATAGAACTTTAGAAATGCAACAAGCGACAAACTAATCATTAGGTTTGGACCGGACAAAATATCTTTCTCGACAAAGTCTGCCCAATGAAAGCAGTTGGAAATACGAATTTAAATAAAGTATCTTTCCTCATAAGAGTTGCCTCATTTGCTTTTTAGTGCAGCTACACAATACGTGTTATCCAATCAAGTGCCATTAAAGTTGTAAATTTCAAATAAAAATTTATTATCTAACCAAATCAATCGCGATTTATTTCATGATCAAACTTACCAGGTTGAACAGAAAAAACGCTGAATCCATTTTTATGTTCCCTTTTATGAAGTTCTTTCATAAATAATATCTGAGCCAATTTGCTTTGAGTGTAAGCACGGAATTGTGCTGGTACCGAACCTCCGTCCTCTGTTTCAATCGTATCAAATACAATATGACCCCATCGATGACCGACCGAAGAAACAAAAACGATTCTTGGATTTGACGACTTTCTGGAAAAATTTGAATAAGAAAATATGTCGGTTATGGAATGAAACACTAATCCTCAAATATGGCTTCTCTAATCTAGACATATTAGTTTTGGTTGGCTTACTAACCCGATTTGGCAATGAAAAGGACGCGATTGTGGCGGTACCGATGAAACCATTCTCATTCTGTGGATGTGGCTATTAGTGGATGATTAGATATTTCAATGGTCTGATATTAAATTTGATATTTTATGTGAAATTCGCTACTTGACTGCTTCAATTCTCAAGTCAATGGGCTCAAGTCAATTTTCTGGTAGTAACCGCTATGAATAATGGTCTACCGTGGCTTCACTCCGAGTTGAGTCTCGTTGACTTCTGAGTGAGTTCGCGTGACCTTTTATTTTTTGAGAAAATGATTGTCGAAAAATGAAGAAAGTACGATTGAATTATTCAATGTAACATTGTAAAAATATTGTAAAATCTAGAAAATCAAAATAGATTGTGGTTTAGCAAATGATCTTTTGTCAACATATAGACCACCCTGTAATTGTATCCAGTTTCCAACTCAAAACTTGTTTTGACAATAAAGGGGAGAAACATTTAAAAAAAGTCAAAATGTCACATCGTGCGTCAATACCGTAATACGTAAAACACTTGAATTTTAAAATATGGATCGTCAGCGATTTAAACCCAAATTTATCTTCATAAAAAATGGGAATTCGGAGAAAATATGCGAATGGGGTTCAAGAAAACATCTCAAGTTTTTTTTCCCAGAATTCTGTTTTATATTTACCAAACGCAAAGGAAAAATTGCCATGGTTTGTGATGTTTTAATTCAACTTTCGTGGAACTCACAGGACTTTATTCAAAAAAGTCAATTTCAATGGAATTTATAAATAAAAGTCAGCAATGGTCTTTTAAGGTTAGAATAGCTGATATTTCTGTAAAATTTGCTGTTTTACTAAAAATTTACGATTCCCACCAACTTTTACATTGCTTTAAATTATATCGATTTTTTTACATCGCTCATCTTTATTTTGCTTCAAAACAGATTCATATGCAATATTTGGTTTGTTCGGTTGTTTTCAAAGGTATGAGAAAGTAATAATATAGCATTAAAAGTTGGAAATATTTCAAAGTATTTTCGTTTTTCGTAATTGCAAGCACTAACAACGTAATTCTAATTTGGAATCTAACCTCAACAAATCCATCAGTGAGAGTGTTAATAAAAATGGTCCAAGATGGTTTGTAGCAAAAATGATCGGATGTCCGTTTTTATTAACCGTGGATCCGATGCCGATTCCTGGAATAATAAATAAAGATAAGATTGCGCAGTTGGTGGGATATGTCTCAGAAAAAATATAATTAAACGAAAAATTTTGGCGATCTGTATATTAACCGGACAAGCTAGGAATAAGCTATGCAATTTCTTTTGCTTTAAATTACATAACATTCGTAGAAATTGGATACTTCTTTTTTAATTATATACAATTTTCTTTAAAATAGAGTTCCTGCAACGACTTAATTGCACAATATAATGATATTAAATGTCATGGCCGCCGGAGAAAAAAAACTTAAGTGTGCTTATCCATATATTATCCACTTAAGATCTTGTCAATGTGGTAAACATTGTTTTAAATTCAACCAAAAAAGTGCTGGGAAATATTCAAAGTCTTAGAATGATAAATTAAATTAAATATTTGGGCCTGTTTGTACTTACCTGCGTTGTTTATTAAAACGTCGACTTTTTCTTCTGTTTTTACGATTTGATCAACAAATTTTTGAACAGATGTGTAATCAGACAAATCTAACTTTTTTAATATTATTTCCGAATTATCAGTTTTCATCTCAATTTCTTGTTTGACTGCTAAACCTTGAAATAAAGTCATTTTTCAATAAAAATGGACGGGAAAATGAATCACGGGGACTACGGACGCCCATATTCGAAGACTTAGTAATTCTTTACGTCTTCTAAATAATTTTGAATCAGAATAGTAATAATTTTACAAAAAATGAAACAGTATTGTCAATTCGGTGAATTTTGCCCATATATTCAAACGATGTCAATTATATTTTCGTTGAAAATGAATTATTCTGCCATCTATAATATTGCAGTGCTTGTATTTATATATTAAATTGTTCACATTAGTGTAATTAGAAACTAAATGCCGGTATTACGCTGAAGAGCAAAGAAATGAAAATAAAACAAAACTTTAAAATTGAAACCTTTCTGCCAATCTCTGCAGGTAATAATAATTCTCGCTCCACGTCGTGCCAGATTAAAAGCCGTTGCTTTACCCAGTCCATCGCTTCCACCTGTAATATACAATGGTTTACGATATAGAAGTTTACATTTAATTGAATTGGAAATTTCTTGAATCCAAAATTATGGTTGATGGTACTTTTTTCCATTCAAAATGTCTTATACGTTTCACATAGTCTCTCCAAGTCATACACGCGTATAAGACTGGAATACTCCCGATTCGGTACAATATATCAATATTTTGCTTATAGGTGAATTAGAACGGCTTTCATTAAGTAATAAACGAACGACGGGTTGAGATCGCGGACTCAATTTTGGCCGCAATAGCGCCTATCCTCGGCCCGACCTTGGATTGTAAAGTACACCACTTCAATTTCACAACTAATTCTACTTTTTTCAAGTAGGTTAGAATGAGAATGAGCATGGAAAAACATTTTTGTTATTCGAAATTTTATGTTTACTTCAAATATCGGGATAGACTAAGAATATAAGTTTGAAATAAAAACACTAATTTTGGGTAAATAAATGCACGTCGAATCATGTTATACCCCAAAGTGGTGGCCTGTTAACAATCCATCAATTGCCAAATATTTGATGATGTATGATTCATTTATCATCGTCATGCTCACTAAGCGATTATGGGGTTGTTTATGGGCGACGAAGAGACCGGATGTTGACTCTTTTAACCGCCAGTGACGTATTATTGATATTACGTCACAATGCATCATAGTCTAATAAGAAAAATTATTCTGAGAATGGAGTGTGTCTTGTTCCGTATGATAATACTCGCGAAAGCATAAAACTTCTCGGAAAATCGAAGCGGGTATTGCTTTTGTGGCAATCGCATTCTGAGCAAACACGCCACCACGTCGATCGGTGAACAGTTATCAGTACCGGTACGATCTTACAGTTACAGTTTTCAGATATTGCATGGCAAAAGAAAGAGATTATGAAGAACTTCAGTACAAAGCAGTAGTAATATACCTGTAATAATCACCGTTTTTCCATCCATTCGATCGTCACAAACACATTGCAGTTTTCTTCGAATAACAACAGCTAATAAATATAGCCATAACGAACAACAGGCTGAATATAAAGCTATCTCATTCATGGTATATTCTTCTACGCTATGATCTGAAATCAAAATAGTTTCCTTTAGTCACCTATTTATTTCACAACTCACAAGCTATTTTCCCGTGGGCCTATAGTTTAAACGTACAGAAGGGAAGTGATGGAGAACCGTCCTTGTATGCACTATCGTCCACCGTAAGGGAGTATCATAACTTTGGAAATCGGTGGGCGCAGTCACCGTACGAGCTAGTAAAACCCTATGCGCTACCATTTGAGCGGCATATGGAAGTTTACATATGAATGTAAGTCCAAGCCGCCAAATTATTAGTTACATAAGACGTAGTTTATATTCAAAACATTTATGCAGCATAATATATATATATACGCTATAGATTTGAATACAATTAGTCCATGACATAGAAAACGGATTACTGTTTGTCCTTTTTTATTGTCAAAAGTAATTTTGTTTGAGCATTTGCAATTGTAATATCTGAATCCTGGTTATAAGTGGATGCAAAGTACAATAATTAGTAGCGTGTTTCCCGTGGTTACAAAAAACACCACCATATTCCAAATTAACTGATGCAAATCTGGCTTTCTTCAAACCCCATATTTATTTTACCCCTAAACCCCCGATTTATTTTACCTTCTAAACCCCCTAATTCCTTTACTGGTATTCATAATAATCCGCAAATGCATGAACACACACATCTGAATTCCGATGGTCAAGTAAACAAGCCACCATACCCCTATGAGCTCATTCGCCATAAAAAGTAAATACTGACAACATGGAATGTACTGCTGTTTATTAACCATTAACGAAATGCAAGAGCTATTCTTAGTCGAGCGCGATATTAAATAACTAATAATATTATTGCTATTTATCGCACACACCGCATTCCCAAAGTAAATAAATTTAGCAATTAACATTTTATTACCGTCGCACTTTTGTGTGCAATATTTGTACGTTACTTCGCCTCTGGGCACTCTAATCCTTGTACTGGCGTTTTCAACGTCGAAGAGTTCCTTTTTAATTTCTGCCACCAAAGTCCGTTTCACGAATCCTGATTAGGTTGAGAAAAAATATCGTGGGATAAATGATATATATATATGAGTCGTCAATTCTACTTGAAAAGTTAAGCGATAATCACTCTCAAAATGTCCAACCGGAAATTTTTCTCTCGACATGCTTATGTGAAGTCATCGGCTACGCGGTAGGTGATTTAGTTTTTAAAATCAAGCATTCTTTTGTCACGTGGACAAACCTTCATTGTCTCATTTCGCGCTATTTTTAACTTCAGGCCGGGCCTTTTGACGTAATGCACGTCGGTTTGACGTAGATATCGTCATTCGATTCTTAGTTTCGTATAAAGTGGTGCTTATTTATTTTCGTTTTATCAATGTATAAATTTCCCGAAGATTTATGAAATGTTATTTTGCAAATGCCAAATGTATCAAATTACTCTCAGACAAGTTTTAGCATTCATGACGTATGTTTGCATTGGGTGTTGATTCAACCGCACGCACGTATTAACTAGAAATAAATAACAATGCTGGCACGAACATCAGTGAGCCGTTACCAAGTCAAATATACAGGAGTGTTTTTACATCGTTTGATGGGGAGGATATTTAAGTGAAATATGAAAACATTTTTATATATAGATTTTATTTTGTGAAAAACAATATATTATCGAATTTTAAATGTAAGCAAAAAATATTTGTTTTATATTGGGGTTTAGGGGTAAAAATTTGTCAGTTCAAAGTTAATTGTAAATGGAAAGAGCAAAATCTCTTGCCTTCACAACTCTTCTGTAAAACTTGCGCAGTTTTGACGCGTTTTCGAAAATGATTCACTCTACTATCAAAAACGCTGTTTTATACGACAGGGTGTTAAAATCGCAGGCTTCTGGAGGCCAGATTGCATGATGGGAATTGTGCCCGCAACCGCAAGCAAGTTTCGATCTATTATTATATTTTGTATTATATATATATAGAATATTTTTAAGGCGTAGTTTGCGACACAAATTGAGACGTAATTTGGAGTCGGACCTGGTGTTCTCAGTGAAGAGACTGGGTTTTTATTGAAATATATAATCACCTATCTAGCGGGTTTAATATACTTTTGATTACGCGCCTGTAAAATGTATCATTTTCATATAAAAATGTAACAATTGATGGCGGGTAAAACATTACCATATATATATATATATATATTTATTCCGTCTGTTAAATTTCTAATTCCAAATGAATTGTTTTCGACTATCGAATCAAATAAAGCTCTAGTATGGAAAGGGGATTTATTAAAGAAAACACAAAATCGACCCGAGGCTTAAATAAGCAACGCCGTAGAAATAAGACAACATTGCTCCAAAAACGTGATGCCTGTCAGACTTTTTCAGTTTCAGTTGCGACGTCGTCGTTTAGGAATCTGTCGATTTCGATCGATATTTTAAATGGCCGTATTACTTATAGTCTTTATCATCGGGAAAGAAGCCGGTGGACAAACAGCTGCCTGCTACCAATATACGAAGACATGTGTATTTTCAGGACATTTAGGCATATTTAAGGCCGTATGAATGTAGTAAGGCGTACAATCATCCCAGTACAATTCTAACCCTAATTACGCCTAAATACGAATACTCAGCGTAAAAAAACGAAAAGGCGCCGAATACTACATATATACTTTTTGTATATAAATAGGAAATAACGTTTTGTAATGTGATATAGAATGTTTTATCATTCAGTTTTTTTTTTTGTCTCAAATAAAGGCTGATAATGACATAAGTTTTAGAAAAAGATTCGCTTCTCATCCTCGCTTTCTAGTGTTTTAGCTATTTTACTTAGAAAGGAACTCGGTGCGGCGCCGATACCGAGTAGAAAAATCGAATAGTAATCGACCCAGAAACAAAAATATTTTACAACAGTGGTCAGAGCAATCGTTTACTCTGCAATACCCGGCGGCCTACGTTATTGCAATGACTGGTTCTATCGTGGAATGGTGAACAATATACCGGTACTCGAAAATAGCCCGTCATCGAGGTTTTTTATTCTGTCTTTTGCGCGTCTTTATCGAATTAATTGTGCTATGGTATTTTTCTCATATATATATATATTAAACTTAGTTTTAAATTTTGGTAACTTATCTCAATTTTAGTCTTGCGTGTTGTCATTTTTATGTTTTAAGTTCGAAATAAATCATATCTTTTTCTCGATTAGCCTACTCCCTACACCAGCGTTTCCCAAACTTTGTTCCGCGAGCGTCTTCCGAGTGTTCCTTGGAAAAGAAATCAATTACGTCTAAATTGGTCGCCACGGCGACTTAGGGATCGTGAAATTTAACGCTTTAACGTCGGCCTAAAGCGGACTATCTTGGGCAGGGTAGTGGCATTTTCGTTAACCATCGGCCTTGCCTTTTGACTGTTGAGTTCATTATCAAGTTTACAGCAATCCTTTTTGCTATAGGCAAACAAGTTGGTCTATCTAAATAAAAATAATGGTCTACTTTTCTTCCTCCATCTCTGCCTGGTTTTACTTTAACGTTACTGAAAAAAATACTCATGTTCGATGAACATGGTTCAGCAGATAAATACACTGCATGTCTGCAGTTCGCGAAATTGCGGCAAGTACTTCTGTCTCCATTAGACGCGACATCAGAGGCAATAAACACTGCGGAATGGAAAGTAAACGACATAGAAAGATAAAATGAATATTTGATTCATATACACAGCATTTAAATTAGGCAACGGTAAAACATTTATAATTATTGCAACATGTAATATATTCAATTCTATTTTAGGTAACACAATTCCGTTTTCGCGGCGCATTTGGCAACTCGCCACGGCAAACCCATGGAGAACACCTACATTATACACCGTTTTTCTTCAACAATTTTACCCTTTCTTCTTTTGGTGTTCCGCGAGGCGAGATAAAAAAGTGCAAGTGTTCCGTGACCAAAAAAGTTTGGGAAACGCTGCCCTACACTATAGTGAAGTTATAGCTTCAGAAATTTGTGACAAAACTCCGACATGGCCAATGAAACATCAATCTTTTAGATACCACTCCCCTTACAATTTCAATTTCACTGTTGTTTTATTTGCAACTCTGGAATGAGTATTGGTTGTGGTTACGCTAGTAACTACCTCTCCTTGCTCTATGCCTTTGCGAAAGCGGATCCATATGCGCATACTATCGCTTTTATTGTCTTAGTTGAAAAATGATTGTCTGAAGACAGACAAAACGTTACAGAAATACTCATTGAAATAAATAAAATTTTGAAATAAGTGTCGGAAATTTTTTGGAAAGCTGATCTATCACAAAGCTCATGTTCATTAATCCAAAATGGACCAATTCTTGGAACATGATTTATTCTTTTTCGATTGTTCACAAACAATGTAAACTTTGTATGAAAGCGAAATGTATAATACTGATTTTTTCATTTCCATCAAATAAAAAGGTCTAACTAAAGCCTCCGGCGCAAAGTTATTTACGTGATACAGAGAAGTTTCGCTCATCCAAATAACTGAGAGGAATCACATAGGCCTATCATAAGAAGAAAACATCGTAGTTCATTTAAGATTTACATATTTATCCCGTTGGAGAGGAAAGTCAATAATATGGCCTAACTCTCAGAATAGTCAAAGGTGGCGACATTTCTGGATTAACCATTATGCAAAATAAGCACGTGCTTAGGGTACCAAGGAGAAGGCGGCGCCACAGAAATTTCCATAGACGACCTGAAATGGAATCGCAAAGAATGTATCTATTTCAGTAGAATAGAAAACTGATTGATCAATGCTTACTTTACATTGATTATCTTAGTTTTTATCATAATCCGAGAAAAGATGACGTGTGGACTTGACGTAGTTTCAGAATGAATTGAAAGATACATCGCTCGCACAATTTATCACGTTTCATCTTCAATGTCAACGGTAGCATCCTTTGACCGTCATGGGACTCTTAAGCCAAATTTATGATGTTTTTGTGTTATTTTCAGTGTGTATTATATTTTTTGAATATGTAAAAGTGGTAGCCGTGCTCGTTAGTAGCTGTGGCGCAGGGGAAGCGTTGGCACATGGTCAAACGTCAGGCCAGGTATGAGGGTTCAAACCCCACGGGGTAGACTGATTTGAAGGTAAGGACCAGAAGGCAAGACATGTGATTGAGGGCGGAAATGAGCTGTAGGGCAGTGCCAGCAGACAATACATGTGGTCGAGGGAGGAAAAGAGTTGTAGGGCAGGAGCAGCACACAAGACAGATGGTCGAGGGAAGAAATGAGTTGTAGGGCTGTTCCAGCAGACAAGACAGGTCTGCAGGTGGTCGAGGGAGGAAATTAGTTGTAGGGCAGTGCCAGCAGACAAGGACAGGTGATCGCTGTAGGGCAGGAGCAGCATATAACCAGGTAGGCAGGTGGCTGAGGAAGCAAATGAGCTGTAGTCAGGAGCAGCATACAAGACGTGGTCGAGGGAGGAAATGAGTTGTACGGCAGTGCCACCAGACAACGAGGACAGGTGGAGGAGCAGCATATAAGACAGGTAGGTAGGCAAGGAGCAGCATACATGCATATACACATACATACAAGACAGGTCAAGGGTGGAGATGAGCAACATACAAGACGTGATCCATGGAGGAAATGAGATGTAGGGCAGGAGCAAGACAGGGCAAGGATAATGAGCAGCATACAAGACGTGGTCCCGGGAGGAAATGAGATGTAGGGAAGGAGTAGCAGCAAGCCAGGGCAAGGGTGGAAATGAGCAGCATACAAGACGTGGTCCAGGGAGGAAATGAGATGTGGGGCAGGAGCAGCATACAAGACAGTTAGTTCTAGGGTGGAAACGAGCTGTATAACATGAGCAAACCAAGACAGGTAGGTAGGTAAATGGTCGAGGTAGGAAACGAGCTATAGGGAGCAGCATACATTGGTGGTCGAGGGAGGAAGCAGTTAGTTGGCACATAACAAGGAAATGAAATGAGCTGTAGGGCAGACTGCAGCATTCATCATACAAGACGTCTAACTGGTCGAGGGAGGAATCGAGACATAGGGAACAGCATACAGTGGTCGTCGAGGGAGGAAGCAGTTAGTTAGGGCAGGCTGCAGCACATAACAAGGAAATGAACTGTAGGGCAGACTGCAGCATCCCATCATACAAGAAAGACGTCGTTAGTTAGGGCAGGCTGCAGCACATGACGAGGAAATGAAATGAGCTGTAGGGCAGACTGCAGCATCCCATCATACAAGACGCATCGAGGGAGGAAACGAGCTATAGGGAGCAGCATACAGTGATGATCGAGGGAGGAAGCACTTAGTTAGGCAGGCTGCAGCACATGAGGAAAATAAATGAGCTGTAGGGCGCTGCAGCACATAACAAGGAATATAGGGTGGTCGAGGGAGGGAGCATTAGGGCAGGCTGCAGCACATAACAAGGAAATGAAATGAGCTGCAGCATCCATCATACAAGACGTCGAAGGAGATAATCTGTAGAGGCAGGCTGTGCAGCATACAAGACAGGGAGTCGAGGGAGATGAGCTGTGGGGTCGAGAGAAGTCACACACAAGCTGTCGAGGGGAGGAGGAGCAGGTAGGGGGTCGATGGATGAGAAAAAAGGTCGAGGACAGGGCACATGGGCTGCGTCAGGTCGAGGGAAGAAAATCAGAAAAAATTCTTTTTTCCAAGCCAATTTGGGTCGAGGGAGGAAGGAAAAGGGTCGAGGACACAACGGGCTCCGTCAGGATATAAAGAAAAAAAGATGAGAGGATGAAAAAACTGCAAGGGAGTCAAAGGGAAAGGAAGCAAATTTTAATTTGAAAAGATGAATAAATTTTGAATTAAAAAGATGAAAAACACTGCAAGCAAGTCAAAGGCGAATGAAGTAAATTTTAAATTAAAAAGATGAATAAATAAGGATGAGAAAAGCAGCAGAAAGTCCAGGCTCCAAAAGTGGGGCAAAAAATAGAAGACATTCAAGGCAAGGCCGCTTTAGAAGAATGTGTACGAATATGGAGGTAACTACTTAATTCGCCTATTTTATTTACATAAAGTTGTGTAAGCATGTACATGGGGTATATTCACTTGGCTAACACAGACAGTCCCAAACTCACAATGGAACTAAAAACAAGGAAAATCGGAATAAAATTATGGCCTAACCCCAACCTGGTACACATACTACGGGAATACCCAATTAAAAGGGGAATGAATGAAAATCAGCGATGCCAAATCAATCGATGCAGTCAGTCAAGAGAAATAAATATCAGAGAAGAGAAAATAGAAATTAATAATAGAAGAGGGAGAGAAAAATCATTCTGGCCTGGATGCAGCAACAATTAGGATGGGAATGAAAAAAGGCCAGAAAAATGAATAATAAAAATCGGTTAGGGAGGGGCAAATAGAAAAATGGTAACTCGGCCCTGAATTAGTTAGCATGATGAATACTAAAATTATCTTTATTCACTATCCATTATGATGCATTACGCCACTGAGCGTTCAAGTCTGTATATCAATCCTTTTAGTTTCGGCAAGTCCACGGCATCTGAAAGAAAATAACTAGCCAACTAATATCATACCCGACATGAACTGGTAACCATACGAGGGTTCGCCATATAATTAAGTCGTCTTTCCTATCTCCCGGGATAAATATGTAAATCCTATTTATCCTACCGCGAATGCAGGTTTCCACCACTCAGGGTATTATTTCGAGCTACTATCTTTCTGAAAAGCACATTGGAAACATTTCTGAACTTTATCATTATGCTATCAAACAATTAATTACTGAAATATCAAATAAACACACTCCCATCAATCATATTTTATTTCGAAAATTTTAGAAATATTTTTGAAGAGGTTCACCAAGAATCTTCTCGAGATTTCGTACAACATCCTGGCATTTCTTTTCAACAATTTCTTCTTCATCTGTAAAATATATATTGTAAATTGAAATCATGCGATGTTTTCAACAAAATATAGGAAAAATACTTTTTCACAGAATATAATGTCATGCTGATATTATACACATGCACCCACTGATCTTACAGCTCCACTTCAATTATAAGCATTTTTCTTAAGCCAGAATGGAAGGGTGTGGACTTAATGTATATGTTTGAGCACACATTCATTGCATTCTATGTTAGTAATTTTTGCAGTAATTAATAAATTGCACATAAACACCAGTCAGCAGGGGCAAACTATGCTAGTATGACATAAACAGCATTTAAAAATGTAGTTCCTTAAGAATAAAAATATTTCTTATAATACACCAAATTTGCATAATATCCTCTATGAAACCTTAATGGCAGTCCATTCGTTATCAACTTTTACTCATGTAATAACATAATAACTGCTTTTTAATACTACCTTCCATCAATTCAGCCAAAAATGGAACAGATTCCGGCAGTAAAGTCATGTAATCTTCCCCTAATTTTTCTGCAACAACTTGTATTGCATTCAGCGAAGCACATCGGACCTTGAAAAAAATAAGAAATATTTTTGGACACTAGGGGCAAAGAACATATTAATTATTCATTCTTCAACTTTATAATACAAGGTAATTAATTACATATGTCAAGTTGTAAGTCATGATACAGAGTGGGATGAAAACTGGGGAAAGACAATATTACGATACACTCCACAAGCTGTCGTCCAGGTTAGGTATGAGAATAGTCCACACAACTTCCAGAGTTTATAGGCACATGTGGTGGAAGCGAGAGTAAATAATTAGAGCAGAGGTTCTCAAATGGTGGGCCGTAGACAAAACAGTAAACAATACAGTGGGCCGTTGTTTACATTTCTTTATTATGTACACATATTGAAAAAAACATACCTTCGTCTTACTATCTGTTATTTGTAGCTTACTGTTAGCTAGTTATTTTTAAGGTGGGGCGCAAAACTTGAAAAATTCTAGAAAGGGGCGCGGCTTAAAAAAGTTGGAGAATCACTGAAACTGGAGGATACATAAACCATCTCGCGTCATAGATAAGTACAACAACCCTCGTTCCAAATTTAAAGTGTTGTTAACTCAAAAAAGTTTCCTACAGTTTGTGAATTGTTGACAATATACCATCACTTGTTTTTAATCTGACAAATATTTAATGAATATTTGAACAGATCAGCATACATAGTCAAGTCTTCAGTATATTGAGTGGATAATGATTATTATTGATTGCATGTAAACTTTTATAACTCAAGAAAATTTCGGATATAAAATTCAGTTACCTTCAATGATTCATGTCTTGATTTCAACAATATTTGATAATTGAAAGGTTTCCAACAAATATCATCAGTAACAGAAGCCGCCACTTGTCCAAGACAAGGAATTACATGGTTTTTCAGCAATGTATCCAACTGATCTTCATCTATGAGTTCATTGATAACCGCTACATTGTTCAGCTGAATATCAAAATGGATATATTAGAAAGTCTCAGTTTAATCGATAAGGATTTTAGAATCATATTGGACTTTTAATTGCATTTACTTTCATAGTAGTCCCGCTCTCAGCAACCATATGTGATGTTTCAAAATTTAGAAAAACCTTAGCATGAGTATTTCATGAGATAGAACTTGAGTAGAATCAATTTTTGAGGGACTTGAGGTTAAATGACCTTGGGCTAGTATAAATTATGCACTCAGACAAGAGTCACAAAAACAGACATGATCATAAGTCAATACTTTTTAGGTGGTTCCCACGCCTATTTGCGAGGCCATTGACCAGACGATTTAATTTTATCAGACTGGTAGATAACCAGATACTTGATTGGAATAAATGAATTTAAGTTAATGGGAACTTTATTGGACAGGACCGAATTGTTTTCAGAATAAAACTAATCATGGACTTAGTTTAAACCTGTATCAATATCAAGGCAGTTGTTTGAAAAACAATAAATCCCAGGCATTTGCAATCACTTGTACAAGATATTATTATAATACATAACCGTCAAAAATTTGGTACTCCCGTAGTATGCATACAAGGTTCGGGTTAGGCAATAATTTTATTCTGATTTTCCTTATTTAAGTTATATTACGAGTTCGGAGACTGTCTGTGTTAGCTCCAAGTGAATATACCCCCTGCCCATAAGCTTCCGTCCCTTTACACAACATGATATAAAGTAGGCGAACAAAATTAGTTACTTCCATATTGGTACACATACTTCTGAAGTGCCAAAAATTCTACAATTTGAGAATTTTTCTTATGTTTTCATACCATCTCAAGATGCTGAAAAAGTGTAAATTGCTAACGTACCTGGTTTACTAAAGGATGAAGAATAAGTTCAAATCTTTCTCGATTCAGGAATCCAGTTGTGTCGTATTTTAGTGTATTATGTAGAGTGTCGCAAAGACATCCCAGTAAAGCAATACGTTTTATACCAGTGAGAGAATCCTGTATAGGAAAAATCTCTGAATCATTGAGTAACGCAACATTTTTCAATGTTTCTGCAATGTTGTTCATCAAATGACCAGCGAAAAGTGTAAATAAACCTTTCATTTTGGATGATAATTCGGACATCAGCATATAATAAGTCAGCAAACGATCGGGGAGGTTTTCCGACAAACATGCCCAGTCAAAAAGCTTGAAAAACAAAGGTCTGAATGAATTTTCCGAGAGTTTCAACATCATTGCTATAAGTGCATTGATGACATGGTTTTTAATATCTATTGTTTCATCATAATTGAGTTTTATTTCATTGTCTTCATGAATATCCAGAAGCTCCATAAAAATCTTCATCAGCGACATACAATTTTGGTTGATTTTTTCTTTGTCGAGCGAAGCGACATGTTTTTGTATTATTTTACACAAAGGAATGATGCATGCCGGTCTTTTTTTCTCATTTTTCTTTCGACATTTGTTGATAGCGGGAATCAAAACACGAGACGAAATTTTTGTCGAAAGAATATTTGTTATAATTTTCAATCTCGTACCGATTTGTACTGTCATGTTATTATTGCTATTATTCTCAGCATTTTCTTTTTCAATATTGTATTTTTTCAATAATAGAAGAGATGTGACTCTCACTAGAATGGTATCGAGATGGGGACTAACAAAATTATGCAGATTTTCCAGTAATCTGTGTAACACTGTTACACATGAGAAGAGCAGCATATCATTTTGCAGGGCTCGAGTTGAACAAGTCAATTGCAATAACGCAGGTACAAAACAGCCCAAATGAGATATACAATACGCTTTCAGATTGGCGCATAATTCCGCTAAACATAAAAATGTAGCTGATAGTATCTGGTTGTCCTCCAGTTTATTGTTCACAATATTTCCCAGGTCAGGTAAAATGTCTGTAAACACAATTTGATTCTGTTTCCCACAAACTCTTATGACAAGTTTGAGTGTAATAAGAGATGAATATCGCAGCAGATTTTTCTCCTGAGATTGAGTTTTCTCCACATCGTCACTTGTTTTTGAAATGTTCACCAATTCTTTTCCTAGTTTTATTACCGCTAGGGTTTCGTTCGGTGGTAATTCATCGACAATAGCACCAATCCTCTCAGCAAGCAATTCCAAAGCTTTTCTCTGAGTTGAAATCGATTCATTTCCCAATAACTCTTCAATAATAAGTAAGAAAGTATGCAACGGAAGAAGAAAGTTTATTTTATGCACAACGTCGTATGCTTTATGAGTGAGAACCTTCAAGAATTTCACAGTTTTCAAATCAATCGACTTGCTTACTAGAGACTTATTGGAAGAATCTGAGATGTGAATTACGTGGAGTAGTTTTTCAAAAAAGTATCGAAATAGTGATGATATTTCTGTATTATTTTCAGATCTTTCAAATTCATCAGTCATTTCTTGATCTTGTTGTGATTTATCTTCTAATCGAGCAAAATGTTTTACAAACCCTTCTCTATTTTGTTCAAGGAAATGTGAAAAAAACGCAAACAATGTTAATTTCATTCTTCGAAGCTGATTTGTAGAAAAAAGACGAACCATCAGAATTTCAACATTTTTCATTGCTGGTTTTATCGTTCTCTGAACAGAACGGCGATGACTAGGCGTGCTTTCATTAGGTAGGGTCGTAATATAATCCAAGCACGATATAAAACTGGCAATTTGAACTTGATCGGAAGAAAATTGGACAATCGAACTCCATGTTTCCATGGCAACTTGTAAAGGTGACACATCATCATCAGTCCCCACATCCCAACTTGTTACGTCATCTTGATCGGTACTTCCAGCAACTACTGGTTTGCAAGAAAATTGAGAGACGAGAAGAACAATAAGAACCCACAAATAGTCAGCGTCTCCGAGAGTGCTCAAAATTTCATGAAACACTGTCAATTTTCTATGATTTGGAATGTGAACTAAAGCGTCTACAAAAACGCGGATAATTTTAAGCACTGTTTCTTCTTTTCCTAATATGGCATTATTATTGTCTTCCCCACTTTTTACCAAAGCGGGAAGGATCGAACGAATTGTCATTGACAAAACTTGGAAGGAATATTCATCATCTTGTTTTATAATATGTGAGCCCATGAATGTGAAAATCGACATAGCGTTATGAAGTACTTTATCTGGAAAAATTGAAGCAACGTCTGACAAGAGTAGCAAAGCCTGCTGCTGGGTTTGCGAATTTTCTGACAACTGAATACAATGAACAACTATCTCTATTTTACATTCTGTAGAAATGAAATGATTCATTTTATCATCTTTTAGGATGCGAGACTTTAATTTTTGGAAGATATTTAACATCATTGTGAGTACGAGTTGTTTGATATATTCAAAACCTTCTATTGCATCCCCAGATTCGTTTTGGTCTTTAGATACTTCAACGAGAAACTCTAGTAATCCAAATAAGGAAGGGAAAAGCATTTCGCTGTTGAATATTTTCTTCTTATTTTGTAAAAGCTCTAGAAGAAGTGTCGTCCTTTTCCAAATCCCAGACGTTGGCGTATCCAAAGTCAATTCCGTATTGAAATTTTGCAGATTTTTTGTTGTTTTTAGTTTTTTAGATTTGATTTCTGACGTATTATCTAAAGATCCTTTCGTTAGATGAAGTATTTTTGAAAACTCTTCAACTGCATGCTCTGCATCTAAACTGATAGATTTGAATGCTTTTGAAATAGAACTTATCGTCAAAGGGTTTGATGATTTGGAACCAATATCAAGAACATGAGATAATAGTTTCTGTTGTACTTCTGCACCGAGATTAGCTGCAAATGTCCGATTTATAAGTCCCAAAGAAATGGATTGTGGTGACATTACTTCAGACCCTAAAGATAATTTTTGATCACATGAAATTAGTCTGAAAAATACAGATTGGATATCTTCATGATCAAGAAACTCTGCATCAATTTTAAGAATCGATTCATAAAGAAAGGAATCGTCAGGAGAGATAAATTCATCTTGTTCTTCTAGGGTTGTATCATCCTTTTCCATTTCCAAATTTCTATTTTTCATCGTTTCCAACTGTTTGTGTATAACTGGAACAAGTAATAGACACATGTTTTGAGATTTCACTTTTTTCAAACTCTTCAGTAAAACAGTTCGAACTTTTGTCGGAATATCATCGCAACATAGATAATGTCCCAAAAGACCATCGAGTATTGTTGTACGCTTTCTTAAAGACCTTTTGTTGCCGGCAGAAGTTTTTTCAGCAGAAAAAAACGTATCAAACACTTCAATAACCGCTGAAGAATCGGACTCTATTTCATCCTTATGCTCGGCTAGATGACGTAATAATTCCTGAAATGAAGTTGACAATTCTGAACAAGTTTTAATGCATATGAGTGATGCTTTTCGTACAGACGCTATCTCGCTTGACAAACAGACCAAAAGATTAGGTATAGAAGTTTCCAGCACTTGCTTCTTTATTTTAGACCGTAACATACTATTTCCAATATAAAGAGCAGATATTTGAGCAACAGCCCCAGTTTTTCGTCCGTTGAAATATCCAGTCCAATAAGGGGAGAGAAACGACACAAAATCGTCACTGTTTGAAAAAACATCTGTGATGAAAATTTGCATCAGATTTTTCACCACACTAATCAAGTTCACGTTTCCAAAGACACCAAATTCAACTACTGAAATGAGATCGGAAAGAGTGGAATAAATCGCACGCTTTGCACTCCAACAAAAAACGTTGTTATCCATTTCCATTGAGGATCCATTGTTTGAACCAACCCCCCATTGGTCAAATTTGCTTCCTTTTTCCTGACAAGATCCAATTCGATTCAACATTTTGAATATTTCAACAAGAAGAGAGCACAATAAATCAATCTCACATAAAGTGTATGAGTTGTGTGTTTGACAATTGTAGAAACCAACTACAAGATTTGACAAGTTTTCATTGAACGATTTAATACTTTCGTCTCGTTTTTGCATCTTTTTTCTTGGTTCTTCACTTTGTTTTGAATCTTTGAAAGACATAACAAAACTTTTCAGATCTTCTAAAATTTCAAACATCATTTTTTGGCACGTATTCAGCGCTCCATGATTTTGCGGTTGAGACATGCTAATAGTGATATAACTGAAGACAAAATACGAAGGCAATTTAAATTTAGCCCGTGTTTCGTCAGGATTGTCCTGTAAGAAATGACTAATTTCTCGACTTGCGTTCCAAGTGGTAGATAGCAATTCAACATCAGTTTCCAGTGCGTTTTTCATTTTGGATAAAACACCATCAATTGTCATTCCTGGAGCTGTAAAACATAAATATATATCTTGCATCGTTGCTTGCATTATGATTTACCAGTTGACAATCACAGACCAAAGAACAGTAATTTAAAAAGGAAGCATTTTCAGTGCCGTGTTTGGAGCGAACATGTCAACAACATTAGGAATATTGGCATATAGAGTTAATTAATACACATAATATTAATGAGCTAGATTAGTGGTTGTCAAATGGTGGGGTGCGCCCCACAAAGGGCCTGAAACGAGACTTGACAAATTCTAAAAAGGTGGCGTCCACTGAGCCAGATATAATTTAAAGTGTTACTAAAATGACTCATAAAATATGGGATTATTTTGTCAACAAACTATCGAAATGATTACGAAAATGATTTAGATTTCACTTGGCAAATTTTTGCTTCAAACAATTCGTTATTTTTAACCAGTTTTTACACTTATGGCAATTTCTTTGCAAAAACTACATTAAATGACTGTGCTTAATTACTGGTAATTACATCCTCAATTGATGCTTAATTTGAGTGAATAAAAACAATTTGAAAAACCAAGGCAAAAATGGTAGGTCAAATTCTTCACAATCGTTCAGTAGATAAAAGGCACATGTTTTTGTTTACCATATAGGTTAGCCTGATAGAATATGTTACAAACAGCTGACAAAACTATTCACTCTAAGTTGTTCATTGCCCTAGTTCAATTTTTAACAATATAGATCATTGGATTTAAACCATCTTGTGCTGAATTTAATTTCCAAATTCAAATCGCACATGATTTCGCTGTATGAACGGCAGCGTGTGATTCCAGCGATTTTAATCCTTAAAATACATAAAATAATTCTTCACGACATACTTATAGGGAACAAGAGTTTCGAATTTTTTTCCATAAACGATCCTCTGATAGCAATATTATACGTTGATGACTCTTCATTTAAGCAGATTTCTCGAAGAATGATATCATACAAGAGAATATTGATATAACTTTTGCATTGGTCAGAACAAGACTCGAAAAGTTTACTACAGAGAAGAGTGATGGCAGCCAGAAGTACATTGTCCCATTCTGGTAGTCTCCTAAAAAAAGAGAAAATTACTCTTTGTTACAAAGTTATGACAGTGATTACAATCAGTTGACTTTATAACTTATGAAAATTAAACAGTTGACAGTACATTTGACAAACCCTGAATAGCTGGGAAAAAATGTTAGTAGAAATAGAAACCACAAGTCACGAGTTAAGTTGTATCACGAATCATCTTAGTCCCGAGCAGAATCTGATGACGTGTCATTTCATTTAGATTACTTGAGTGACTTTGATTATTTAATGATGATTTGAGTGTGAGTCGAGTCAGCCTCACCAACATTCGTAAAATCAGACCATGCATTTATAGGCCATTAGAAGTTATATTCATCAAATTATTTCGATTTGTTTTGTAATCAAAAAATGTTTCATCAATCCTATTTTACTAATAAGAGAAACTATGAATCATCTAAAAAACCAATACATTTAAATTTTTTTTTATAATTTACATTTATATAATACATTATTACATTTACATTTGTTTTGTTTGGGAGACTCTAGACATTACCTAATTTGAGGGCTCGAGTTACTATTTATCGAAGATTCCAAGTTAGTCATTCAAGTGAAATGACTCATACTCAACTAACCACAATTACCGTAATAATTCTACCCAACACTACTTGTGAGCAAATCTGAAGAATATAATTATTAGGAAATCCCATAAAATCTCAACCCCAAAAGTCAAATCAAAAGTAAAATTATGAACATTTATTTAAATCAATAACTCACTGTTAACTGTACTGACCTGTTTTTCAAAACAAGTTTAACGAGAATGCTTGAAGCAGTATCAAGATCATAGAAGAATGTTTCTGTGTGTGCATGAATAAGTTCTAATACTTTCAACACAACAACGGGAGAATCGTCAATCTCAAGCCTGGAATAAAAATATATCTTCTTACGATGATTTATATAAGAAAGTACATTTTCCCTATTACATATATTGTGGGTCAAAAAACAAACAAATATGATTGAAGTATAATATCGTAATTAGGATTGTGGAATCCATAGAACATGGTGGAATGAACTATCTTATCATCGCAAGTTTAAAATCTCAGTTTAAAATACTAAACCAACTACCTCACCCAGTGTGTGATAAATTGAATAGACAATAATGAACTAGAAAATATAAAACATACTAGCTTGTTACATGTCAGTGACAAGTCCGTGGCAGAGCCTCGTTCTGAGTGAAATACACATAAAAAGTCATATTATGATGAGTGTAACATAACAGCTTTCAATGCCCTTCCTTACCCAGGATGTAATAAATTAGGTAGATAATATCGAACCAGAAATATCCCGGCCTTTTCAAAATAATATCTCCTTATATATCATTGGACGTCAGTGGAGCATGACCTTGTTCAAAGCCAAAGACATAAGCGCTACAAAAGTATTTTCTGAAGAGCAGAAGACGCTTTAATACTGGGCCTCAAAATCCGAAAACAGTTTATGAAGTCTATTTTCCAAGTATGCTTTCAAAAACTAACACAAACCTGTGTTTCACTGATTGTCTCACAAAGTCACTTTCGACCAATTCTGATTCAGATTTCAACATATTCTGCAAATTTTCAACTGCAGAAGCTCGAACAGTGGCTTCTGGGTAACACAAGCCCAACATCAATGACGTTTCCCCATCAACAACAAGCTGTAATAATAATACATTGAGCAAATAGTTATAATATAATGAAAAAGAGCTCTTCAAACTGGGGTCCCCTGTGCAAAAAACATCAATGGGGATTGCGGTAAAATCTTTTCGACACTCACTTTTGTTAAAACAAAATATCAATCAAATTGGAACCAGTACTAAGACCCACCATGGCCAAAATAAAGCCAAGATTCGATCTTTTTTGTCAGAATATGTAAGCACCCTATTGAAGGTATTCTCGATTTCTTCATTTTTTTAATATTTCCTGTATTATCAAATTTCACTTCATTTTTATTTTTTTTAATTCCTGAGGGTCGTGCCAAGTTGGTTGTGATAAAAAAAGTTTGAAGTACACTGCTTGATTCATAAAATTCAATTTCAAATAGTAGCCTACCTGGTGTTTAGCAGTTTCTGCAGATATACTGATGAATTTGTTTATGCATTCTGGGAAATTGCCAGGTGATGATTTTTTTGATAAGTTAGAAATAGCACTGTCAAATTCTTCTGGATATTTTCGTTGAATTTGTTTTATTATTTCAGAAGAAGAAACAGATTCAGTGTCTTGCCTCATGAATTCTTCAACAGATAATCTGTGAATATAATAAAAAAGCAGACTGAAAAAAATGGAATGACTATATATCTAATTTGATCATGAAACAATGGAAAGCGAAAACATATGCATATTGTCCAAGAATAAGAAAACTGAGTAAGTAACCAGGGCTGTGGAGACAAAAATAATGACAAGCGTCTGATTTCCAGGTTATGGAAAAAGTTGACTCCGACTACAGCTTGGAACTCCGAGAAAATTCTTTGGATTGTATAACCTTATTCAATTGTGACTTAGGCTATTCCATCACGATTGAAAGCATGACCAAAACACATTGGAGCTCTGTCTACATTAAAAATACTCAACTTTATAGCCATGGAAATGAGCCTATTAAAATCCAGATAATCGTAATTCAGGGTTTCTTAACCAGGTAACGAGAATGCTGGATCGTTAAGTTTGTTTGAAAAATACAATGCCATCGAAGACATAGCACAATCGAAATAACATCAAGAAGTCCGAGGCTTCTGCTTCAACTTCTATGTATTACTAATTCAGTTTTATCCCTATGATATTTACTGCCAAGAAAATAATCAAACAAAAAAAATTTGAAATTTGCAATTTGCACACAAGTAAAAAATTATTTTCAATCCTAGAATGCGAATGTGGGAATCTGTTGAAAATCCTGAAAAATTTTATTACAGAAAAAAGAAGAACCACCTATTCAAATGAATGAATGTCCACAAACTTCAAAAAAATTTAAATTCAAGTCAATAATGGTTCTCAATAAGCTATAGATAGAATAGACTATTTGTTATATACATACCTTGTAAATACTTTCTGTATATTCTTCGACATTGGAAAATTTTTCACAAATTTCATTAGAATTTTACTGAAATCTGTAGATACTTCATCGGGGTCTTCGATTTCATCAATTTCTTCGATTTCATCAATTTCTGATGAATCAGGAGCTAAAAACAAAAATAACAAAAATCTATTGGAACGACAAAATCATGAACGTGTGCAGCGTACAGTGTGTAGATAGTCTGGAATCATATGAAAAGTTTCTACATCCAAACTTAGAAAATAGCAATCAAAATATGCATTGGAACCAGGACAATTCACATTTTTAAAGTCAAAATACGGTACTTCAAAAGAAACTGGATTGGTATTAACACGAATTTTTTTTTAAATCAGTACGCTTAGAGGGAAATATAAGTGTTAAAAAGTACGAGTAATAGTGCATAACAACAAAAATTACATGTTCCTGTCAAACATGCCTATGTTACATATAAAAAGGAAAGTTTATGATACCAGAATTTGAATTCTTCTGATTAAATGCTGCAGGAATCAGACTTTCGAAGAATATTTTGAGGAATTTTTCAATTCCCTTTCTTTTGGAAAATTCTTCAAGCAATTCAGACAAATTATGTATTTCACATAACTTCTGAACACATCTGCAATTAATAAGGTAAAGACATAAAACATTACAATTCAACATTTGAATTCAAAAATTGAATAAAACATGAATGGAAATATCGTTTATAATGAAATATCACGCAAAGGGTGCTACTTTGGTATGCGATCTCGGTGGCTTTGTGACCCCAGTGATTCTAGATAGGATTAGGAACTGAATTCTATGATAATGTCTTTATTTGATTGAGATCATGTTAATAAGCAAGTGAGATCGCATACCAAAGTGGCACTAGTAAAATAGGTAGTAAATCCAGCCATGGGTGCGTAGCGTAATTGGGTAAAATTTACCATATTACGGTATATTCTAACTTATCAATTCGCATTGAAAAAAAAAAACATGGGTCTGACTCCCAACTAAGGATTGTTATGACAAAATCAAACATAGATATAAGAAACTTTAGCATATGCACTAGTAAATTTGATACATTTAAGTTTATGCAAAAAAAAACTTCTTTTATCACTATTTAAAGTTTGAAATTTTAACTCTGATGACAGGAGTTTGAAAATACGACTTCAGACTCTGACTCCAGTGAAAACAAGCCAAACTTAGAACCCACAGCATTGCATCCTACATACCTACAATGGCGTAACAAATTGGGTATCCCATTAGAATAGAGAAAAATTGTAAATGTAAATGGCTATTTATGAATCTCTTCAAAAATGTGCCGCATACATCATCTTTTCTGATGAAGATAAATTTAGTTTCAAAACTTACAATTTTGGTAATGCCTCCAATTTTTCCTGTGATTGACAAATTACAACAACAGTGGTCAAAAATTCTTCGTAGAGTTTGCCAGTGTGATGCCTAGAAGCCGATTTCAGTAATGAGGACGCAACCTGATTAATAAAAACAGAAGAATCGATAATTTCAAAACGTATAACTTTTCAAGCATAATGGTGGTCGTAAATCTAAAGCCTTGTTCTGAGCCAAGGTACAAAATACACAATAAAAAGAAAACAAAATGGCAACAGTACTCTAACATTATTATTATAATTATGACTAACTTGTTCTGTCAGGATAGCTTTCGAGCAAACTTGGCATATTATCATATACGTTGCAGATTTATAATCGATAAGATTCGACTTCAGACCCTGAAAATAATAGCAGATTAATCAATATCTCGTTTTGTTCAAGTGCAATGTAATAAATACTATCTCTCCTAAAATTTCTACGATGAATCTTGGAATTGCATGGGTATTTAATTTTGCTTCCAGAAAATCACTACATGTCGCATAGTATTTGCGATATCCTTGGGTTGCAAGTTTTTCAAACTAATTTTTTAAAAAATGTGGATTCCTTGAAGAAAGGCTGGGAACCACTGCTGTACACAGTAATTAGTTTGGAAACACTGTTGACTAAAATCGAAAATCGAATGTAGAATTTCAAATCCTAGTTTTCTTTTTACTTCCCATAATATAACTGTCATTAACCTCAACAGTAAATTATTTCCTTGAATAATTTCACAAACCTTGATGATGAAAGGAACAAGCTGAGCAAGAAATTGATCAGAAATTTTTGATATTTTATGAATTGTTTCGAGAGTAACGGCAGTGTAAAAATTTATTATTGGTCGAAGGACATTGGCCGAAGAAGAGACCTGCGAATTCGCCTGAAAAATTAAAATAGAGTTGAACAAAAGAGAAGAAAAAATATTTGGAGAAACAACAATATTTTTTTGATTCGCTATAGCCCATATAGTCAATGCAAGGAAAGGTAGGTGATTAATTTGAATTGAAGAATACTCTGAGATCTCAACTCATTAACAAGCAATTTCAGTTAGCCAATGTGTTAAACTCATCATAGCTCGGACCACTGGCTTCTAATATTCTTTGAATAGATACCTCCCTTCATCTATTTTGAAACGCTTCATCCCCCCCAAAACGACACAAATCCAAAAAAAAACTGTTTACATTTGTTGTAGTTATTTACATTTTATCTTTATTGAATCATTGGCAGACGATACACGCAACCATTCCACTTTGGTTTTTCACTGTTTTAATATTTTATAATGTGCGCATAAATATATTGCATTGCAATACTACTACTACATGATTTAAAAATAATAGTGATCTACACGAAAATACAAAGTAAAATTCCCTACAAAAACAATAAAGTGTGGGAAACACCGAGTTACATAATCTTTGTTGATATCATTCTACTACTCTGATCAAAAGCTTCTATCGCTTATGAAATGAGAAAATGCACGATCTCAAAACCTAATACATTACAAACCTTTATTGCCTTTGAAACACTGTCACAGATAAAATAGAAGAAAGCAGAATCATTCACACAATGGTTTGATATTGTAGCTCTCATCAGGGAAACACCAGGTTTCTAAATAAAAAACCAAAGTATTTACAATGAACAATTCAATACGATAGAATCAGATATAGCCTCCACATACCTGAATCGGGGCTATCCAACACCATTTGTTTGTCGGATGGGAAATATCCAGAAGTTGTACAAGTCGAACAAACATTTTCGTTTCATGGTATGGTAAGAAACTTTGCAAAATATCATCAACATTGAAGTAATGGATTCGAAATCTGAAAATAAATAGCAAATGAGGTATTAACCAATGACAGAAAATATTCCTATCGGAAAATGAATCTCGTCTGCTTACCAGTTTAGGAAGTGCATTCGAAATAGGATAGGAACGAATATATCAGAATTTTATTCTTATGGGGGTGAAGGAAGGGGCAATAAGGTGGCAATAATCAAATTGTTAACTACAGCTTCATGACTATCAAGTTGGATAGATGAATAATTATCCAGTTAAATAAATTTCAATACCAGGTCATAGTGAACCAATCTTAAAATGCTAAGTTAAGAATCTTATTCATCACTTTCAGATGAATCAAATTAATTATTCCACATCCTGGGAAGTCTCATTAATGTTTGATAAAGCCTAGTTCCTGTCCTTCCGTTGGTCCGGCTCAAGTGACATACTGACATCTTTTCACTATTAAGAGCGTCTATAAATTTATATATTTTATATGAAAGATATTTATGAGGTATTTACAATAATACCTATGAATCATCCATTCCAAACATTTCTGTGCAGGTCTCATAAGAAAATAAGGCATAATTCGCAATAAAAAATTTCGGATCTGTGAATCCAATTTTTTGTTGTCATCTTTTGTCAAAATAGATCTCTCCGTATTCTTTGAGGTTTCACTGAATAAGGTATCGTAGAATTCCACATAGAAAGTTTGATCAATTGAACATAACTCTTCAAAACCATTTACACCTACAATAAGAAAAACAAAATTTTAAGAAACTTTTAGCAAAGACTCAACCTAGCAAGCCGAATAGCAAGAAATACATGTCAGGAAAAGATTCTTCTAAACAGTCATGCTTGAAAGATTTCCACTGATAATTAAAAAAAATGGTATATTGTCCAAATCCAAAGCATTTAATTTTCAATACAACTGCATTTTGACATAAATAAATTGTTTTCCAAAATACAGTTATCCCTGGTTATTAAATTTCTCCTCGATCAGAAATAATTAGCGAATTGGCAAAATTGGAATAAATTGCACATATAAACATGGTTGTAACAGGTAAATTTAATATTTTCTTACCCAAAGCATAAAAGGCCTCTCGATCGAGTGTAGCTGCTTTGTGGGAATCAAACAATAGCGAAGGTCGTTTTGTTAATTCTTCTCCAAGCTTAGCATCTGGAAGAGCAAGTCTTCGTAGTTGTTCGGACAATGATGTCATACTTACCGGTATTACTTAAAAAAGAATCCCATACAAACTAAGTTTACCCCCTGAAAAACATAAGTTTTATTGTTTTTGAAGATAAACTTGTGGAATAGTACTAATAGTATGATACATATCAAGAATGGCAGAATGGTGAACTTTTTATTGAATGATTCATATATTAGACTATATTTTTATCATGGCAATAACAGAATGTGGAAACATCAACGAAAAACTTTCTGTTGACCATGTTCTGTGATATTCAATAGGATAGGATAGGATTTACATATTTATCCCGGGGGAGAGGAAAGCCGATAAGACGGCTTATCCATATGGCGAACCACGGCCTCTCGTCCGGTTACCATTCCAAGTCCTGAAGTCGGGTATGGGATTAGTTTTACTGTATTGTTTGTTTTCGGAAGCATGGACTTGGTGGTGGAGGAAGCCGTAACCGACCAGCGGTTACGTGAACCACCCAACGACGGCGAGGAGTCCAGCAATCCTCCCGCACATAACCATCCCTGCATGGGATTCGAACCTGCGAACCCAGGCAGAGTAATTAGAGGTGCTGTGGCGAGCGTATTCCTAACGCTTAGCCCGTTGAGCCACACCGCCGCGCCTATAATCTTTTAATTTCGCTTGTCTAGCACAATTTCATAATTTAGTGTTAAGTGGGTGTTTATTTTAGTACCATCTTTTTTTTCGACAAGCTGTACTGTAGTACTCGTAGTCTACCGGTACCGTACCGTACCGTGCTGCCAAGTGCGGTAGGTACGGTAGTCTACTTTCAACAACATGAGTGAACAAATGACCATCCTATTTGCAGGCTACTATACTCTACCTCACTTTATCAATATCTCTATGCACGGTGTACCGGTACGGTATTTAATACTTGTTTTGTTAAATATTTAACCAAAGACAAGAGAACTAGCAAGCGCTACCCTACACAGCAACGCACGTGTCGACCGACAGGGCAGTATTAGATAATTTACAAAAAGTTCTGCTCTATACATCCCCCACGCGACGATATATTATGATGTGTGTGTGATAGGAGTCGTATGGGGCTTACATCTCAATCAAAGCTTTTTGCACCAGGTCATGATAGGCTATTTATTGGACACGTAGTGGACATAACGATCGTTTCAATATTATGTTGTTGTTGTTCTTGTTCTCTGACACGTTTTTAAAAAGTCGCTTTTCTCTTCGAATACTGGACCAATTGCTTTGAAATTTTCAGTGGTTAAAGATTAATTTTTTCGCTAGAAGGCTATTACTTTTGTCCATTCTTAAATTTTATATGAATCCTATGAGATATTTCATACAAAATTTCGCGGTATTTATTTTTACTCATGGGAACACTGTTTTACACTTATTTCAAGCGGTTTCGCGATCGATTGTCTTGCTCAGTACTACAGCTACTGTAGGTCGGTACTGGTAAGTTGCCATACCGGTACCGTAACGCAGTGAAATTGACTTATTCCTTCCGCGGTATTACTGATGCTGCAATGCAAGTTTTATAGCCTATCGTATGCGGAACGGAATATCAGACCTACAGGTTCGGTACCGGTACTGGTAGCTCAGTACGTAAGTACGATACTGGTACTGGTGCCGGTACCGGTGTCTTACCACAATGAAATTACCGTAACTTATTCTTTCACGGTCCTACCAGTGCAGTAATGCAAGCGTTGTAGCACTTGTAGCCTACTATATTTGTTTATTTTGATGAGAGTCTACTGGAAACAACATAAAATTTGAAAGGGGAGAATTGTTCTGTGATCAATTATCTGTCCTAAAGTGTAAACAACATAAAATTTGCAAGGGAACAACTGTTCTGTGATCAATTACCGTATATGGCCTACAGTGTACAGGTAAGATGCTGGCTGACTGCTAACCGGTACTGGTAGCTCAGTACGTAAGTACGATACTGGTACTGGTGCCGGTACCGGTGTCTTACCACAATGAAATTACCGTAACTTATTCTTTCACGGTCCTACCAGTGCAGTAATGCAAGCGTTGTAGCACTTGTAGCCTACTATATTTGTTTATTTTGATGAGAGTCTACTGGAAACAACATAAAATTTGAAAGGGAAGAATTGTTCTGTGATCAATTATCTGTCCTAAAGTGTAAACAACATAAAATTTGCAAGGGAACAACTGTTCTGTGATCAATTACCGTATATGGCCTACAGTGTACAGGTAAGATGCTGCCTGACTGCTAACTCAGTACCGCTTGACACGTTTTTAAAAAGTCGCTTTTCTCTTCGAATACTGGACCAATTGCTTTGAAATTTTTAGTGGTTAAAGATAAAAATTTTCTCCAGGAGGCTATTACTTTTTTTGTCGCTATGACGTCATCAAAATTATGTGACTCTACGTGTCCATATATTTGAGCATAGCTCTCTTGTCTAAGAAAAAAAGAGTTGCCAGAATTCTTTTCTTACTATTAAATGGGTCTACCAGTAGATTCGACAAATTTCAGCACATGAGATTCTACAATCTGTTAGTAAATATTGAAACCGAAACGGTACATTATAATCGGCACATACCGGTAATTTTAGTAAATTGGATCGTTGATTATTGAAACGTCTGCAGAACAGAATTAAATGGGCAATAGTTTCTTTTACGTGACAAAAAGAGCATAGTCCGTCTTGATGGCATCCAAATTATTTTGTAAATGGCTATTTATTCGGCAATGACCCGTCTGTAAACGAAACAGCATTATTTCGTACTTCCGATGTAAGTTTGAATAATGAATTATGAGTAGTTCTGGGTGAAGAATCTCAAAATGGGTTGTATCTCTACTTTGTATATATTCGGTATTCTAATTGCAATGACAAACATCAGACAACAAAGAATTGGCTTCATTTTCTTCAGTGTCTATACAAGCAGTAGAGTTTGGAGAAGTGGTAGATCGCTTTGCTGGTATATATACACGTTCATTTCCCGGAATGTCCTTATGTCCGGGAATCCATAATAAGGTGACTCGTTTCCCCGTAGCGCTAATTTGGACATATGCAGTTTTGATGTTAATGATAAATTCATCAGAGGAATCCGTGCAAGCTTCAATAGATTGTAATGCACTTTGACCATCTGATAAAATAACGATTTCGTATGCATTGCTTTGATCGTCGCATTTCAGCGATTGTAGGATTGCATTTAGTTCTGCACTATATGATGAGCTCAGTTGAGGTAAGGGGGAGATGTGTTCGACCGTAAATATATACTATCGACCGATCTCGATGGCACGTAAAAGGCGGATCCACAGCCATTTTCAATTTTTTGATCCGTCTGTGAAAATTATTAAATAGTTTCGATAGTAATGTTCGAGATGTTCCGTCAAAGCAGACGTACAACATCGGGACAGACATCTTTGCTCAGAGCTTCCGCTAGGGTATGATCAACATAAGGGCAATCATAGTTCCAGTATGGTAGCGATGATGTTATCCTTGGTTTTATTGTAAATTGTTGGAATATTAAGGATTTCGTGATCATATTGAATGAGTTGAATGTAACGGAGTCTGGATATATCTCTTGTCACGAGTCTTTGATTATGGAGCGGGCAGAATGATCAATTATGCTGCAGGGCAGCGTTTCCCAAACTGTGTTCCGTGGAACACTAGTGTTCCGCGAGCGTCTTCGAAGTGTTCCGTGGAAAAAGAATTAAAAATACGTCTAAAATGGTCGCCATGACGATCTATGGGACGTGAACTGGTCGCCCAACTGACCTTTCGATATCGCGGTCACCGTCGGCCTAAAGTGAACTGATTATGGTGGGGTGGTGGAATTTTCGATAACCGTGGCTATTCCTCCTCCACCTTTGCCTGGTTTCACCTTGAAATGCTGAAAAAATTTCTCATTTTTGCTAAACTCCATTAAGTAGATAAATAAACTGCTGCAAGTACTTCTATCTTCATTAGACGTTACATTAGAGGCAAACATTAAGTTAGGGAAAGTAAACGACATAGAATGGTAAAATGAATGAATTGATTTATATACACAGCATTTAGATTAATAAACAATAAAACATTTATATCAAATGCAATATATTCAATCATTTTTTAGTTATGTTTAACATAATTCTGGTGGTTGCATTTGGCAACTCGCCACGAGTTTGGGAAACGCCACATTATACCGTTTTTCTTTATCAATTTTACTCTTTCAATTTTTGGTGTTCCGCGAGGCGAGATAAAAAGTGCAAGTGTTCCGTGACCGAAAAAGTTTGGGAAACGCTGCTGTAGAATAATAGATGGCATCTATAAGATGGGCATTTTAGGAGATGTCGGATGTGTAGTGGCATTTCTCCGGATTGCGCTTGTAATGATTTGATGCAGGAACTTGGCATTGAGCCACAACATATTCATAGACATGAGTTTTGAATTTTCATGATCGGATCGAGCCATGTTCGTGGGGCAAAAAATATGCTTCAAATCCGTATTCAATCAATGAACAAATGAGTGTCCTATATAGTGTGAGTAACGAACCTCAAGTAGTTCTTGAAAGTAAACGTAGCCATTTTATTCTTCTGATACACTTTGTCTGAACATATTCATTATGCTTTTCATAATTAAGAAGATGAGATATAGATGAGGTATTTTTCGTTTCCTTGTGAAAAGAATAAATGTAGACTTGAATTTAGATACTCGGAAACCCAGAGTCTGCGCCATTCGTGGATTTTATTCAATATATGATGATTGAAACTTTGGCTCGGGGTCTACGACCTTGACCCAAGCAAAAATTATCCATATACTCCCTAAATTCCAAGTATTTTCTGCTATGTGTTATCAATTAGCCACTTATTTGACATGAAGTCGATGCATAATAAACTTGCACGATGTTTTCAATCAGTCCCGATTATCATAATATAGAGTAGACTACTGATATTGGTAAGTAGAAAAGTTATCTGTTATGAAAGCTAACAGGATACCGATTCTAGGCTCTATTAAACTTAATAACACTACTACCACAACTTAACTCTTTGAACCCTGAAAGCCGCTTTAGCGGCTTTCCCGAGAAAGTCTTCTGACGCTGAAACCCGCTTTAGCGGCTTTGGCATC